CCGCGCGAGAGTAGTGATCGGAACATGGTGATTGTCTCGCTAAACACAGCGTGTGTATTTGTATGTCATACGATCGCAAGACCAGAGATTAAAAGAAAGATAGTTCAAGAGTCAAAAATGATACGCAGGACATCAAAACTCGTCTGCTTTAATCCTTATATCATTCTACGGCCGTAAGATTCGGAGATGGCCTTGGGGCGAATACCCCGAGGCCTATCCCCGACCGGAGGAGATGGACATACGAGCCTGAAGTGCCTGCCAGGCACCCTAATTCTTATGCATAGTCAGACTAGTTACGGAGTCATGGCGTCTGCTGCCTCCGTCCGTTCCCTCCGTTGGCAATCGGTAGTTAAGTACCTCCGTAGTGAAGGGTAACTCTCCAATGAGAGGAGAAAGATTGTCAAAGACGGAAATCCTTCAGCCCACTTCAGGGACCCTTTTTGCCGTGCGTTTCACAAAGTTAGCAGTGATGGCTGTGAGTAGATGGAACCATTACACGAAGCACATGGCTGATCTTCCTTGCTGTCATCTTCAACAATTCCTTCTGCCTATTATACTGCCAAGACCTTAACATCTCTCTTAACTAGTACATTGTTCTATACTGGCATTCAAATTAAGTAGAAATCATTGAACAGCTGGTGGAAATCACACTCATGGGGGGTTTTACTTTCCGACATGGGTCGTTCCCCATCAAGCCTTGTTAAGCTTATAGAAAGTCTAAGAATAAAAATACTAAGAAGAAAAGTGCGCGGGAACCCTTGGAACCCCTACCACTAGGCTGAGACAGGCAAGAAGCCAGAGACCCTCTCATAGTTACTTTAGTAGTATCTAGTTAGTTAGTACCAGATAATAACTAGTTACTTCTTAGTTAATCTGGCTGCTGTCGTGACTCGGATGACTAACACGATGGAGTCCAACGAGGCGCAGTGACTGGTTGATTTGAACCAGTCTGAGTTTGAGGGTCTGTCTGACTGTCTTACCTCGGTCAGGGGGGGTGGGAGAAGGAAGAAGAGAGTTTTTTTTTTTTTCTTCTCATCTTCTTCCCGTCCGATAAATCCCCGCTTAGGGAGTGGCTGCAATCTCAGCAGTCATAATCCATCAAAATCCCACGATTTCCTGACGACACAACAAGGCCATTGGATAAGGTAAAGAGATAACCAACAGGGGATTTGATCTCTGCCTAAATCTCCCTGAACCAATACACGGCACATTCGGAGATCGTTAACATTTCAGGGAAGGGTTGAAACCTGGCCGGGAGAAGCTGCCCGTTTTGGGGAAAAGGGCCGGTGGACCAAACACGTAAGCCCAGCGACTCGCTTCTCTTATCTGAACTGCCGCGGCCGACCGACCGACCGACCGACCGACCGAGTGAGAGTCCATACAGTAAGTGAGCGAGACCAACTGCCACTTGAGTGTGTGTGTGAGAGAGAGAGCTTGGTTGTGTTCGTCCGTCCGAGGACACACAAGACTCTACTACCCCCGAAGACCAAAAGAACAGTCAATATACAACCACTATCAACAGAAGAGGGGCCAACTAACTAACTCTTTCTTCGCAAGTCACTCCCTTCCCCAGCAGTTGTCTCCGATGAGAAAAAGAAAAAGTATCCATTCCGTTCATTATGGCCGACTTTCACCAGCAGCCTTTGGGGGCCGCTGCTGCTGCTGCTGCTGCTGCTCCTCCTTCCGACCATGAACCCCCGCCCGAGCAGCAACGGGTGAGGAAACGTCGCAGACGCACCATGGCATGTATGCAGTGTCGCAGCAGGAAACTACGCTGCGACCGTGAGTATCCTGTATGCAGTCGTTGTCAAAAGAGCAAGACGCCGAATAAATGCACTTATGAGGACGGCTTCCTTTGGCAGCAACCCAATACAGTTGCCTCGCCCGTTTTCTCCGAGCGAGGTCCCACAACCACGGTGCAAATGCCCCCAACTGATCGGGCGACTGCCCACCCTACCCCGGACTCGGGGATAAGCAGTCTCGCATCTCGGTGTCATCCCTCGCATCCCGTTGAGGAAAAACGTGATAAATTTCTGGAAACCGTCTTGGGTGCCCCCAAGGCCGCCGTCAACCAGGAGCCATATGTCAACACCGACCTCCTCCAGCGACCCCGTCACCCTCCCGAATCCCATCATCATTCCACCTCCCACCCCTACCCAGACGATAACGATGACACTCCTGCATCGCCGTCGCAGCAATTGGATGTCTCCCCTCGGATCATGATGCGAGGACGAGAGACAAAGACCCGTTTCAATGGGTCGGGCATTTTTGCCAACCTTATCGCGCAGGTAAACCTTCCCTTGCTTCCTCATCTTTCCCCCCAGCTTGGTATCTATTAGGGGCCCAGTCATGACTTCGTTTTTGGCCGCATGTTTACGTCTATGTAGTTTCCTGACCTGAGGGCCTTTGCGGAAGAGATCCGTCAAGCCAGCCCGCATCTGTCAGCGTTACGGCCTGACCTAATGAGAGTACGGAAAGGCGTCTGGAAGAGAAAGCCTCTGAACGAGCCATTCCCCATGCCCACCACAAGTTCCTTGATCACAATGATCCCGTCACGTGCAGTGGTGGATGAGCTTATCTCCTTGTACTGCACCTACATTGAATCCACCCATCGGATCTTTCACATCCCAACATTCCTCAAGCAACTGGAAGCGTTTTGGCCGCAGCGAGACCAGCCGGATTTGGTCTCGCCGATTTTTGTGGTGCAGCTTCTCCTGGTGCTTTCGTGTGCATGGAATCTCGCCGATTTCCAGACCCTGCAAATGAAGAATGACGGCCATCTGCAATGTTATACGGCCATCGAGTGGGTCATGCATGCCGAGAAGTGGATAGAGAACGCGCATATCAAGCGCCCGGAGCTGACCAGTCTCCGCCTGAATACACTGCTGATCATCGCCCTCAATATTCATGGCATGAAACGCAGCCAAGCTTGGCTTGCGACGGGAACGCTAGTCAAGCAAGCCATGATGGCCGGTTATCACCGGGATCCGACTCGATATAGCCGGATCTCCGTCTTCAACATGGAAATGCGCCGAAGAATATGGACGACGATTTTGGAACTCGATCTACAGGTATCCCTTGAACGAGGCATGCCGCCGTCGGTCCAGGAAGCCGATTATGACACGGCTCCAGCACTCAACATCAATGACGACGAGATCCACGAGGACAGCACCGAGCTTCCGGTGGCTAAGCCGTTGGGTGTAATGACTGACTGCTCGTTCCAAGCGGTCCTCGTACAATCTCTTTCGCTGCGCCTCAAGGCCTGTGCGTTAATGCATTCCCCACATATTAGTTGCCGATACGAAGATATCCTACACTATGACTTCGAGTTGAACCGACACCTTTCTAAGATCCCTACCTGGCCGACTTCAGACGTGGACGACTTCCAAACTGCGCACCGCGGAATCCTTATCCGAGCAATGCTGGAAAACAAAATCGGACATTCCCTGTTATCTATACACACGCCTTTCGCCATTGAAGCGCCCAAGGACTCTCTCTTTACACCGTCCGCCCGGGCTCGTTTAGAAGTGGCGTCAATGATCCTGTCCACACAACGGCGCTTACGCGAAACCTCGCAACAGCTATCCCTCTGTAACATGGGCGACTGGACCATGCAGGCGTACTGCACTATATGCGAGCTCCTCCATCAGGGGCAAATGACCAACGGTAAGCCTAGTCATCCTTATGCCATTGGACTATATGCTGATTCAAACCAGGCGCTTCCACCTTTTTGACCCGAACCCTTCCTGGACTACCCGAATCTCTCATATCCCTGGTGGAGGTGGTTCTTACGTGTCTCGAATCCCGGCTTCTCCTTGTGGTCAAGGGAGCCAAGGAATATTTCTTCATGTCCACGATTGTCGCATTGGTTAAAGTAGGTCTCTGGCCGAGTCAAGCGCAAATTTACAAGCAGGAGGTTGTGGAGAGAGTTATTCTCTTTGCGCAAACCCTGTTTACACGACACGCCAATTGCGCCCATCTAGGCGAATGGGGATTGGGCAACTTCAAGACCAACCAAGTGAGTGTTTCTGTCTACTTTAAAAATTCCAACCTGTACTAATCTGGTTTGCGATAGGTTCCCAGCTTAAATGCAACCCCTGGATTGGCACCTCCGTTTGTTCCCGACGTGAGCATGGCGCACGCGCCGAACTTTGGCATGATGGTAAGTCTGCTTCTTATATGGATATGTGTCACTGGAGCAATGAGCTAATCAGACACAGCAGCCACCGGGAGGAGATTTAGATCCATTCCTCGACGCCTTCGACTGGGGCGACCTAACCGGCTTCACGTTGCAGCAATGATGTAAAAATGCCTCTATATAATCATGACGACTGTATGTAACTGTACCAACACCTCCGTGTACACTCAATCCCTGGAATACTGTAATATGTATTATCATTCTGTATGAACACAACATTTTCTTTATCCTCAGATACGATCGTGAACCCTGACCGATCCTCTATTACCATGACGCCACAACACAACAACCGAACAACGACCAGACACAAACAGGATGTCGATCATTGGATACATATACTTTGTAATTATCGATGTCAATAATAAGTCATTGCACACAAAGGCAGAACCGTCATTCGTCTCCGCGGCAGGGAAAGTGGACCGAGGGATCGACAGCCCGACCGCGATGCAGATCGGATGATATCAGAAGTGGTAAGGATTTTGCCATTGCTGGTCCACACAATGAGGTTCTTGGAGGACAACTTGATTGAGGAGTGAGTAAACAATTGACTTCACAGACAGACGAAGTAGTTCAGATATCGGGTGAGAGTGATTGATCACATGCTTCAAGGGTAAACTGTATTTTACTGTAGACCTTATTGATTGTATTGGTCGCTGCCACTCGGAGCCCAACGACTCAATTGGCCAATAATTTACTGACACCATCCCACAAGAATTGTAAAGTAAAGATGTAAGGAGCGCGAAGATAGTTACCATCGCGGAATTGACTTCAGGCAGTGCTGCGATCCGACCACCAAACCCCGGTTGGCGATGAACTCTCGCATACCCGAAACCACGAACATGAACATTCAGTTACCTTACAAACAAAACACAGGGCTGAAGATGATCTTCAGGAGATTCTGCCCTTCTATTTCTGTTCGAGGGTTCTACTTTCTCTCAGTGGTCCTTTTGTGGCTTTGCATCGCTTTTATTCCCAAGTTGCTCTACCGAGCAAGAGGCTGAGCGTGGGGGCTAATTGCTTAGCATGATCAACGAGCACTACTTATCGCACTAGCTTAACAACTAACATAGACTCGTTCCCCTTACTGTGAACTAAGATGGTTGGTTTTATGTCCCGCCTCAATTCTTATCTACGGACGAACGGCTATCACATGGGTGGGCAGTAAACTGTGAGTGGCTGATGCTCTGTAGTTACACCCCGCTGTGTATATGAAATGCAGGCTGACAGCGCCAGATGCAGCGGGGTTTTCAACGCCTCTCTTGCGGGACCATTTCTCGAAGGTGTCAAGCGGGAAAATGCAGTTTTGATGCGCTGTGGGGGAGGGACATTGACTCTTGCCTGGACTGATATCATGACAGAGGCTGTCACTTTGTCAGACAATGACTTCAGGCAGGATTGAATGTAACATGCAATGCAACAATACAATCATCCCGTCCGAGTAGATCCACACCGCATTGATCCAAGTAAGAACCGAAATCATGAGCAGAAGCAGAATTTTCTAGCGTCATGCACTCAAGGGTTCAAATACGAGATAGAAAGAAAGACTATGTTTTAGGCAGGCATATTACCTTAGCGGCTGTGGTATCCTCCGTTCGATCTATACGGTATTGACGGTATGAAGACCGTCTCAATGCAGGGTCGTGACCAGCTATGGGTGATCCGGATCTGCAGGGTTCTGATCAACTCGGGCAGTTGATTGGCTAGAGGGTAAACATCAGGCGGGTACGGGTAATACAGCCGGTGAGAGCGGTAACGGTATTTCGTGTAAAAGCTTGACTGTGGCCTATTCTTGGAACGATTGCCGTCATGGAGACAATCTAGATTTCTCGCCAATTTTGTCGCTGGTGACGTGCTTCGTGGTTATTCCCCTCTTCTGCTATCTATTTACTACTACTAATAATCTCGCTTTATTAGATAGGAATCCTCGCCATGATGGTCGTTCATTTTCAATCAGATCTCAGGCAGTTAATCTTACTCCCACAGCCTCGTGGGCCAAATCTTAGCGGCCCTTCTGTGCGTCTGCGCTGTCATACAGCTAAGCCTTGTTGGCCCCGTTAGTCCCTTGACTAGCTTCACTTCCGGTCTCTCTCACTGCCAATCATGCTGCTCACGGCACGCTGCCTGGTCTAGCTCTGCGTCCCTATCTGCCTTGTCCTCAATTCCAACACCCTCATCCTTAATGGGGCCGGAGCGATCCGGCCCCATTCCCCTGGATCCTTGTCATTGATATATCCCGATGAGATCCCCTCTGCTGGATGCTGACCCATCATTTCAGTCATTCATGTCAGTTCTGCTCTACTAGTACTACTCTTTTCTGTGAATTTTTGAGGACTATTCTCCTCGCGCCACTCCTTTTTTGCAGAGATTTCGTTCCACAGCATCATGAAGAGCATCACAATGCTGCAATCTGTGATTTCCGTCTTATTTTTCCTGCTCTATGCAGTGAACGCTGTTCCGCTGGCGCCCCGGGCGAGCGCGCTCGCCGGGATCGACACCAAGTCATTCTCTAAGACCAATGATTATCCTCTTCCCAATCTGGGCAACATCGTCGCCCATGACCCTAATGTCGTTCAACATGACGGCTATTTCTACTTGTACAAAGGTGGTGTGCACATCCCGATTCACAGAGCCCGCTCCCTCAGTGGGCCTTGGGAACAGGTCGGCACTGTCCTGGACGAGTCCAGCGTGATCCAGAAGCAAAACCGCTCTCGTCCTTGGGCGCCTACGACCATTCAGCACGACAACCGTTTCTACTGCTTCTACGCGATTAGCGAGAATGGCAGTCGCGACAGCGCCATTGGAGTCGCCTCTTCGGACACTCCCACCGGTGGAAACTGGACGGATCATGGCGCTGTTGTCAACACCGGCAACGGAGACCTGTCGGACATCTATCCCTACTCAGTCTCCAATGCGATTGACGGCGCATTTATCACCGATCAAGAGACTGGACAGTCTCACCTACTTTACGGGAGCTACTGGCATGGCATCTTCTCGGTGCCATTGGCTGATGATCTCCTCTCCGTCAAAACCCCGAAGACCCCGAACGCGACCAACCTGGCCTACATTCCAGACGCCAAGTCGAAGCCTATCGAGGGCTCTTTCATGACTTACAAGGAGCCTTACTACTATCTGTGGTTCAGCCACGGCAAGTGCTGCCACTTTGATATTCACGCTTTTCCGCCCATGGGAGACGAGTATGTGCACCCAATCTTCTATGGAGAAATTGATAGCTAACAATCACAATAGGTACAGCATCCGAGTCGGCAGATCTAAGAGCGCGACAGGTCCTTTCGTGGACAAGGATGGCCATGATACCCTCAAGGGAGGCGGTACCATCGTCTACGGATCCAACCATGGAGTTGTCTATGCCCCCGGTGGTGTGGGCGTGTTGATCAACAACGGCAGCGACGCGGATGTCTTGTATTACCATTATCGTACGTTTGCGGTCCACAATGGTTGAGGAAGTAGCTAACAGGACTTGCAGTCAACACTACATCTGGTTTCGCACAGGGCGTGAGTCTAACACTAATTTTTCCACTGATAACGATACTAACGCTATATAGGACGCGCACTTGGGATGGAACTATCTGCACTATGTAAATGGATGGCCAGTGGCTGTCGAGGGGTATGTTAATGCCAACGGCAAATAACGCTCAGGCACTAAAGGTGGAAAATCAGTAAATCTAGCATAAACGCTACATCAACCGAAAGCAGTGGTCGGGCTATCCAACCGAACCACTCGCTCAATTCACTAGCGCTTCTGTGTATGTGCTGTCTAATCTTGATACTGCTCCCTACCCACTATACTGGCAACAAACTCATTGTTCTATTCGTTGCGCTAGTCATTGGTGCATTCCTTTGGCTCTACAGTTGAATCCACGCCTCTTCTAGCGTCCACCGATGTCCGCCAAGTCGTCTCGCACTGCCTGTTCCTGGCCAAAATGGGGCCAAATCTCAGGGTCCGATCCTGCAGGAACCAACATGGGGCCAACGCATTGCTCAATTGGTATATCTGAAACCAACATGTTGGTTCGAACTCCTCTTATGGAGCAGCTAACTGCACAGACACGATCCATTCACGCCACAAACATCCAGCAGGATCATGGGTCCCATCCACCATCCACATTGAGGGCAGTGCCTGTTGTATACGACGAGGCATCACTGAGCAAAAACAGCACAGAATGAGCAACTTCATCAGGCGTCCCCACTCGCGGCATCACCGTCGGCGTGGGAGTGAACCCTCCCTGGATGGCCGTGGCCCTATCCAACAACGGTGTCTGAATCGACCCACTACACACCCGTCAGCATCACCACCAACAAGCCCCCAAACCAGGGTAGCGAAGAAGCGAAATGAAGGAATCAGGAAAAGGGAGCAACACTCACGGCGCAACACAATTAACCCTAATATCCGGCCCCACTTCCTTAGCCACACTCCTGGTCAACCCAACAACCCCATGCTTAGTGGCCGAATACGCAGCATGCAACGCAAAGCCCCTCAGACCCTGAATACTCGCCGCATTGACTATACTCCCCGTCTTACTCGTCCCCTGAATCGATCTTATCTGGGCCCGCATGCAATACATCACCCCCGACAAATTTACCCTCAACAACATATCCCACTCCGCATCATCCTGCTCCAACAACGAGCCCGTGCCATGCTTACTCCCAATCATGCCCGCCATATTTGCTGCGCCATCGAGCCGACCAAAATGGCGGACCGTGGCATCGATCCACTCTTCCACCGACGAGCGGGATCCGACATCCACGACTCGGGTGAGAACATTCTCGTCGGTGGCGTTGGGGAGCTGGGCCCGTGCGTGCTGCAGCGCAGAGTCGGATATATCTGCTAGGGAGAGACGAGCTCCTTGGGCGTGCAGTTGGCGTGCCACGGCCAGGCCGATGCCTGCGAGGCCGGTTATGGTGTAGACTTTGTCTTTGAATGATGATGACGATGACGACATTATGCTGTTATGATTTGTTGATTGATATACTTTGGATATGATTTTGTTGATATTATGGTTTGTTTCTCAACTGTGTTTTGATTCAGTTCAGTTTGATTTTCAGAGTTATGTACTTCCTACCCCGCATCGGCATCCGCGGAGAAGAAGAAGAGGGGGGTTTATATACCCGTTTCGGCATGACAGACTCGGGGATACTCCGATCGGGGGATAATCCTGAACACATGATAGATCTAGAATTAGAAGCTAGGGTTACATAGATAGATCAATGACAGATGATAGTGTGGACCGAATTAGCGTGTCAAATCGGCTAAATGGGTAAATGCGATCAGGACGGCTACTACTACTACTACTACTACTACTACTACTACTACTACTACTACTACTACTACTACTACTACTACTTGAAAAAGGAAGTACTTCGACAACATGAAAGCAGCAGCTGATTCCATCAGAATCATAAGAAGTACCGTGATAATCTAGTAGTGCTATTATTAGTAGTTACTGAGTGAGTCAATATGCATTACAATATTCACAAGAACAAAGTATTCCTTCTTAGGATTGGTACAATAACAATTGGTAATCCTATAGAGATGTGGTGTAATATCTAACCAAATACTACGAATGTGAAGTCGAGTTCAACCACGGATCATCCAGTATCTCCCTCGCCGTCTTCCTCCTCTCAGGTTCCCATTGCAACATTGATCGGATGAACTGGAGGAACAATTCCTGGTTCTTTCCGCTAAGATTCTCCCCGATCTCCTCGAGTGAGGTTGCAGGGATGGTGACTCCGCCTACGCCTAGCCATTTGCCTATGAGATATTATCATATATCATCATACTGAAAAGAAGAAAAATAGGGGCCCGAGGGAAAGAGGTAAAAGAGACTTACCATCATCCGTAAACACATTCCGAGTCTCCCGACTTCGCTCGATAAATGTCAACGGTGGCAGACCAAGATACCCCACCATCTCAGCAACATGGTGCGATGGCGAGTAATCCCCGTCTTCGTCGAGGGCATTGAATAGATGCTTGTTTTCGAATAGATCCCATATCTGCGGAAAAAATTGAGCCAGAAAGTTTTGTGGATATGATGTTATTAGGGATCTGCTTACAATGACGCCAAGATTCCATATATCAACACTAAACCCCCACTCCATATCGAAGAGCACCTCTGGTGCCTTGTAGATGTTTGGTTGGATGATTCCCCGATGAGATGGTCCGATCCTCGCTTGGCCGAGATCGCAGAGTATAGGCTGGCCCCAGAGCATGTCTCTGGGAAGGCGTAGCTTTCGAGATGTGTAGATTGAACGGGTGCTGTCTATGGTTTTCTTGAGGGTTGGGGTTTGTTGTTCGGATTTTTCGAAGTCTGTTAGGATTGAGGGATCGCCTATGCTGAGCATGATGTTTGAGGGTTTGATATCTGTGTTATTGTGTGTTATTGTTGATGATTTTGTCAGTTGGTTGGGAATAGGGAAATGTACCGGTATGAATAATGTTCGCTTCCCTATGAAGAAAGTCAAGTGCTTGGAGGATACATTTCAGGGTTTCTTTAAGTAGGAATTCGCTCAGTCTTCGGGAGCTGGAAAGCAGTCGTAGATCATGTAAAGACATGTGCATTGGTGGATGCACCAAACATGGATATGTGCCGTCTGAAGTTGTGATGTCGAAGGTATCATATAAGCCACGGATATAGGAACCTCCCATATGGGAAGAGTTTATCTTGCTCAAGTGGCTGTATATTCTCAGTTCCCCCGATAATGTTTTCGATGAATCGTTCTTGGTTAGGACTTTGACAGCCACGTATCTCTATTCACTTGCATGCTAAGTCAGTACTAATGGGCATTGTGTAGACCAGATGGGAGTACCTCCTCTCATGGCATAGCCACACAGTCGAGTATGAGCCATAGCCAAGCTTTCCTACTACTCTGTATCTCGAATTCAGAGTTTCGCCAATGTGTACGGGATAAAATTGGTTTGGTTTGTAGAATGGAAGCTTCTCTTCAAGGAGCTCCTCGGGCTTAGAAGCAAATGCTCGAGAGCGTATTGCACGCTTGCAATTGAAGACAGTTGCTTGTGATGAAATGAGCTTGTTATACTTGATGAGTGATAAACCATTCCTGATTGTTGAAAAGTACATTTGTGTCATTGCAAGGATCACAAAGATTTCGAGGTAGTTGTCAAACGCAAGTCTGCCGGAGCGCGGCTCTAATGGGAGATGCGCCACGTGCGGGAGGTGGAATGCAATGCAAGGCGGAGGATGATCCCTCCTTGCTTCGAGCAATGCACTTTAAACGCTCACTCACCCCACACTCTCTTACATGAGGAACCTAAGATTGTTCTATGGAAGATGCTAGTTGGATGTTATTGTATCAATGTGGACTACTGGGTTAGGGCGTTTCGCAACGATATGGACTGCGAAAGCGGTATCCTTCTGCTAGTGCCTATTTATGGCACATCTTCAGCACTCTTTCCCTTGAATAGTTAACATAACCGGACAAACCCTCTCCTCTTCATCTACCTGTGGACCTGTCCATCCATACAATAACACTCTTATCATCACGGACTCTATCCCTTCTCTCAGTAAGGACCGGTATCTGCTATACTTCGATCCTCATTCTCATCCTTACAGAGAACAAAGGTCTCTATCGCCATCATCAGGATGCCCCCTTCAAGCCAAAGAACCTTCGAGCTCAGTATCAGAGTCACTCAAACTCAGGGCAACGTATCTGAGCTCCAAGCATCGCCCACCACTCCCCAGCAGCTTTTGCAGCTGGTTAGACGCCGTATAGTCGAAGCTGAGGGGCCCGAGTATTTCGAATACCAACAGGTCTCGCTTGAAGCCGGGTCCTTGGTGGTACGAAGCTTCTCCAGGGATGGCAATGTGGAACAAGCAAACCCAACCTTGAGCTACAATACACTAGACAGGGTGCTCTCGGTGACCATGTCAAGCATGACCCACGGCAGCGCGTTCCTTTGGGGAGTAACCGAAATGATTGACAGCCTTAGCCAAGGATACTTCACCAGGAACGAGTTCAGATATCTGATGATGGGTGGGAATGACGGTAGGAAATCCGATTATCACATCCATTCTTATATCATAAACTGGATATCACTAATAAATCTACACGTATGCAGGATTCTTCAGCTTTCCCGCGCCGTGGGCCGCCGGCAGCTATAAAGAACCCGATTTCCACATTATCCACCCTAACACATTGCTACCTACAGTGGTTATTGAATGCGGATACTACAATGAAAGCAATACCAAGCTACAATGTGATAAAGATCTTTGGATGCTGGGCGGAGCACCGCATGTCAATGTCGTTATCCTGATAAAGTGGGATAAAGAGGCGGATAGTAACCGCGTATCTGGGTGGATCGAGTTGCATCGCCGCGGGGACAATGGTGCCGCTATACGGAAGGTAAGTGTCATTGATTCTGGTTTCATTCTAAGCGATCATAAGTCACATATCTCATTCGCTGTCTATCCGATGAGTGAATACACCTAATTGACTCTATAGGACATCTTCCCAGCTCCCGCTCGTGGAACGCCTTGGCAGAGCGAGAGCATCACCCTGTACAGAAGCGACTTTTATTCGGGAGGCGAAGTACCACCTGGAAGGAATAGAAACGATATCTGGCTATGGAACTTGAACCGTCTGAGAGACATTGCAGGGCAGAGAATGGACATTGAGGGACTTGTTCCAGCTTAGCAGCTTGGGATCTTGACCTGCAGCGGTGCATGGGTAAGGCGACGCGAGGAGGCTCTCGTCCGAGTACTCTAACGCTACAGATCATTCCCATCTCATGTCTATTTGTCTATATTTGCTTTACAAACGATATGACACGCATAACTAGCACTAAGAGCGCCCGTAGTGCCCATCCTCTGGATATAGTATAGAAGTATAGACTCTATTCCCAGTGCCACCTCCAGGAACACCCCCAGGAACACGTCCCCAACATCTCACCTTGTTCAGAAGCGATCTGTACCCCGGAGGTATTGTGCCAGCTGGTCGAAACGCTAACGACATCTGGTTGTGGAGCTTAGATAGCCTCAGGGAACATGCCAGATTTTCAATGAGAATGGAGGGTCTTGTGGAAAGCCTGGGTTGACGCTCTGCAATTTGATTGAATCAACAATATCCTAATATAGCCAAACATCTCAAAGGGGAGCAATCAAGGGACGTCAATTTTTGGGTAACCTACCGGATACGATGGGAAGGATATGGTCCAGAATATGACAAGTACCTAAAAGAGGACAAATGGGCGCTGCTGCCTTTATAAAGGAGTTATCAGACGCGAAAAGCAACCAAGGCAATCATAGAAGTCCTCACCTGTACCTCATCTTGCGCTCACCCACCATTCAGTCGCGCCTCACCATAAATTTAGAAGGCATGAGTGTTCTGTGGCTGTGAGAACCCACCAGATATTTGGAAGTCTAGATATCGTCAACAAGGATTTTGTACCAGCTTTATTATAAAGAGGAACGTGTTGAGAGTCCTGACGGAATGAAGACAACATAGTGAGGTGTACAAGATCATGTTAAACTCCGGTTCAACCAGTCAATGCACATCGATTTTTTATGACGAATGATAGAGCTTATTCTGAGAGGCTCAAGCTGTAACCCCTCAGAAAAAGTATGCTTGAAGATAACCTTCCACAAGCGTAACTACCGTAAGATAAAAGCCAGCTTTGATGTTAAACTTAAACACACGCCCCCCCGACGCGCAGTCACTAAGATCCAAGAGAGATATGCTCCGTATCGTACTTACCACCCATATACCAATACCAAAGATCCAGTAAAAAGGAGATCGGTTACTCAGAAACGCTGCCACCACGAAAAATGCGATAGAAACAACAGCAGCAAGGGCAAGAAACACCCGAACACGCTGACCCAGGAACACCGCAAGAGACTGGACTCCGCATTTCGCATCATCTACCATATCTTGGACAGCGTAGGCAGTATCGAGGAAGATAATCCAGCAAACAGTTGCGCCGAACAGAGATAGAACTGACCCGTCGAATCCGATATCTCCTTTCACGGAAACATACCCTGGCATCACACCACTGGCAATAGAGAGGCCCACCACAAGCTGAGGGAAGGGCATGACACGCTTCATAAAGGGATAGATCAAGCCCAGCAGCCACGCAGGTGCGGTGCACAGAGTTGCTTGAGGTCCTAGTGTATACCACGTAGTTCCCATGGTGAGAAGCATCCAGCAAAGGAAGAAGAAAGTAGCTTCTTTGACAGAGACGAGCCCAGACGGGAGTGGTCTGCTTTTGCATCGCTCGACTTGTCTATCATATTCGACGTCACAGATATCGCTGCTCAAGTCTTTTAGTAGCTCCTTGTATAGCACATATTCGAAGGGGAATCTGCTCACTTCCAACTACAAAACGCAGCATGAGAGACCGTTGCACTTGCCCAGATGCCGAACAGAACGCAGGCAAGTGACCATCCATCCGTCCTTCCTGACTTCGCACCAATACTGGCTCCCCACACAGCTGGGAAGACAGACAGCCAGGTCTCGTGGGTATGGAGACGACCCATTTCCCAAATAGCGCGGATGCGCTTGCGCGTGTGGTCATCCAGCATATCGGTCTCGGGGATCAGTTTTCCTGCGACATCCATAATGGTTTGTTTCACGATGTCACGTAGAGTGAAAGAACGCGGATAGTATGATAATAAGCACAGCTACCGTTTGAATGAATGGGTTTAATATAACTTGTCATGGTCATCTGTTAGCGAGTTAATTATGTGGTAGGGGGACGGTGTGGGGTATCTCTTTTGCCCGAGTAGATACTCCGGTAGATCATCCATGCCATGCCCTGCCCTGCTTATGCCTGCATCTAGATCATACTACGGTATATTATTAAACCTTGACAGGCTAGCAAGTCTAAGCTCAGCGCTTAAAGCGCTGCAGATCCGACGGGTCCGTACGGCATTTCAGATAGTAGTATGGATATGAAGTGGAGTGATGTATTGCTTTTTCTTGTCTTGTATTTCTTTCATCCATACTCGGCATCTTAAAAAGAAATCATTCCCCTCCCCCCTCTCAGTCATGATCCTACGGAAGTGATTATCCCAGTCAGCGAATTTAGCCAGACTTCGCGTTGAGAGAATCCCCCAACTCCTCCTCATGCTGTTGCAGCTTATCCTGCAAGATACCTGGCACTGGTAACTGGCGACTACAATTTATTGGTTCACCTCTGCAGTAGGCTCTCTACCCCTGCACTGCTGATGAAGTGGGGGTAACCTACAAGCCGGGTTGGCGCGAAGATGCTAGTTCATGGTGGTGATCCTTACTTGTCTTGTCTTGTGGAGAGTGGGCCAAGTTTCCTGCTATGGCTATTGTGCCATGTCCCGTACTTGATCAAGATACAAGCGGAAGCAATCAACACGTGGCTGAGCGGACTGGGTGTTGTTACTAGGTGCTTCTCAAGTGGTTATGGTTTGATTAGAGAAAGAGGGGTCCTCATAAATCATACTATATAGCAGCGTATTCATGGTTGACACCAGCTAGACCAGCGCCCAGCTACTATCACCCTGGCAGTCTAGAAGCAGAAAGTCTCACGATGACGAACAATCAATCGCCTTACCACCCGCAACATAGAACTCTACGCGAGAGGCATCGCTCCCCCTCGCAGAAAGATCCGTCTTGCATGAATCGACAAGTCCATTATCATCCCAACTGAAACTCACGACACCACCACCCCGTAATCTCAATCCATCAACACTCCCACCTCCCCACGCCGCTGGAATAGCCGGTCCAAGCAGCACAGCCTGCGTCTTACCGGAACGAGCATCGGCATTGGAACGGTCTAAATCCCTAATAAGCATCTGAACCATCGCTCCCACAAGCCCGAAGTTAGCATCGATCTGGAACGGTGGTGATCCAGAGTACATGTCGAATCCGTTTTCGGCAAAGTTATCTTGAATAGCGAGCGAGAGTTCGGAGTACGCTTCGTCTGTAACATTGAGAAGTGCCCAGCAAGCACTGCGCCATACCTTGGCCCAGCCGGTGTTGGAGTCTTCGACGCCGGTGCCACGGGAGTAAAGGGTTGTTTCGACGGCGTCGGTGATGGTTTTGTTAGATCCATGCACGGAGGAGATGACGTAGCCTGGGTACCAGCCGTAGAGGTTGGAGAGGTGGCGGTGGGTGTCGTTTTTAACGTCAATGTCGAGCTTCCATTCTTGGATTTGGCCCCATGAGCCGATGTGGATGCCTGGGTCTAGGGTGGAGAATTTGGACGTGATAGCGTTCTTGAAGGAGATGTCATCGTCGCCGGACGCGGTCCAACCTTGCAGGACGTGGTCGAATACTTCCCAGATCAGTTGTTGGTAGTGGGTGCAGCCGAAGGTCTGGGGCGTTAGCTGGGTGTCTGGTAAGGGTTCGTTGCGCACTTACTGTCGGTCCATGCTCCGGTGAGTTGCAAGGGTTTACCACTAGAGTGCCGTCTTTGAAGTACTCATCTTTCACAAGCTGAGAGAGCCAGAACTGCGCTGCTCCTCTGAGAATGGGATAGCCCTTTTCGCGATACCAGGTACTGTCCTGGGAATAGTCGAAGTGGTCCCATACGTGATGTGACATCCAGGCATTTGTGGCAGGGTAGTCAGCCCACTGCGCGACATCTTTCATGCTGATTTGGTCAGTATTGCGACTTCCATGCCGTTAATGAGCTGCTGATGTACTCACGCTGTATGTCCAAATGTGTTCATCTCATCGTGCGTCACCCAACCTTCCGAGGTGCCATACAACAACTCTGCTGTCTCTGCGCCTCGAGGCATCCATGTCTCAGCCATGTATGTCCAGAGTGGCTCAGTCAGTTCACCTAACCCTGTTTGCTCAACGGCCCAGTGGTTCATCTGTAGGTTGATGTTGGCATGGTAGTCCCCGCTCCAGGCCGGAGAATAGGATTCTGTCCAGAGACCTTGCAAGTTAGGCGGCAGAGACCCTGGCCGCGAGCTTGATATGAAAAGGTACCGACCGTAGTCGAAGAGCAAATTCTCCACGTAGGGATCCCCGGGCTGGCTGTAAGACGACAGAAGCTCGGTAGTTGGACGGTCGGCTGAGCCATGGGGATCTGGGAGGGTTAATGTGAACTCGTTGAAGACGCCTTGGTAATCTTTGACGTGAGATGACTTGAGTGCAGAGTAAGTCTTTTTGGCAGCACTGGTAGCAGCTTGGAGTACTTGCGTGTAAGGGTTTTCCCCCTTGAACGAAAAGCTAGCTTTTGTATTCCCATTGGATGCATCATAATTGGTGTCTGCAGCAAATACAAGGAACACGTCCTTTTCTCCTTCTGGTACTTTAATAGTTGATGAGGAGCAGAGATCAGATGTATTGCTTGACCCGGGAACGACAACAGTCACCCTGGCGTTGTAAATCATCCCGATAACGGGATATGTCTGACCATATAGGCTAATGCTATTCCCATGGCAGCTGACATTCGGGGCAGGCGAGGTGAGCTGATTCTCGAGGCCAAATGTAATACCAGGCAGTGATGAATTCGAGCTGAGTTTGTAAACGCAAACATTATCTGGATACGAGCAGAATGCTTCCCTGGTATCTGTCAACAATCGATCCATGGGACCGTTGAGGCTGCTTACCTTTCGATGTAAGTCTCGCCGGTGCTGAAATGATCCGAGTAAACAGCCGAACTCAGGTCCAAATTCCGACGGTATCCATCAATATCACTCAATTGGCCCATGTCGATGGTCAAGTTTGCCAACACCTGATACGAACCGTAGTACGGATACTCGCCCAGCAGCGCAGAGACATTGCCTGTCCCATTCTGGAATATCCATTCCCTGATGCCAGGAAGTGCACCTGCCTTTGAAACGTTTGGATTTCCTCCTGAGTATGTCTATATCGCTCTCAGGATTTATTTAGCCTCGAAGGCTGTTGATGCGGGTTTTACACGCTCCACGCACCGGACTTTCAAAAGGCCCTCCGCGCCACAATGAGTCGACATTAAGATTAACAATCTCCTTGTCGTAGGAGCCCACAGGCATGGCTAATGAGCATTTTAGTATCCGACCGTAATAACGTTTCGAAGTCTGGTCAAGGTAATTACCTCCCAATCGTCCATTTCCTAGAGGAAATGCAGTGCTTATGAAGCTACTGTAATCTCCCGGGGAATCAGACCATAATGACTTGGCTGCCGCAAAAGGCAAAGCCAATGCCCAAAGAGCCGCCGATGATCCAGAGATGAGCATTCTGCGTGAGCTGGCTGCTTGGATCGAAGGCTGAAGTGCAGCGGAGAAGGGAAAGGGGGCCATTTTATCGCCGTTGTGGGTTAACCCAGCATATGATTTATGAGATGATCACACTGTCGAATGATGGGGAATGAGATGAAAACAATTATATTAGCTGCAGCTACCTACATTAAAACCGAGGTGTACCGTGCCTCTATTGGAGGGATATCTCAGGAGAATAGGAATCGTCCGCAGTAGTCCCGTTAGCCTGCAGATCGGCGAAACCGGCTTCCGATAGAATTGGTTGCATTTTGCAGGACTGGACGGGTATTCCACGAGAGGATGATGCGGGGAATCGGTGGTCTGATTGTGATTGATTGATTAAGTTGAGGGAGGATCAAGGATGTACGCTTGAAACGGAGTCGGGGTACGTCGGGGACCATGTGACCCGGTCTATATAGCCTAAATATCACGTCTAAGCAATGAGCGCTATACTAGTGTCAAAATAGTCCGTATATAAGAACCAAATCCCAAATGAGCATCAACTACAATTTACTCTTCGCCGCCGCCTCGTTGGCCTTTTGCCACATCCGAATCCGGCGCTCATGCCCAGCATTGAACAAATCCAGCCACTCCTGTTCAAAGGGAGGTAGGACACGCCCCGGCTCGCCTGCCTTGGGGTTGCCCGCCAATTTACGCAGGGTCTCAAAATATTCCCGGAAGTCCGGATTGATGACGCTGAACCCAGGCCCATCGCCCTTCTTTGCAATCCGATCTTGTTCCCATTTCTGCTGCACCTTCAAGGGTGGCAATTGGGCCTTGCCAGCCAGGACCCGCGCCGCAGCCACAGCCTGCCATTCGAAGATCTTAAAAGTCAATCCGGCGCCAATCTGGTTCGAATATTAGCTTGAATCGTTCGATGCGAACAAGATGAGCATGAGTACATACCGCTCCCAAGAATGCCAGAGTTGGATCGTTCTGATGGAAGACGTGCAGGTATAGATCCGGAATACGGTTGTTTCTGGTCGGGATATCCGGCAAGTAGGGCAATGCCCAGGTGAAACCCGTTCCGAAGATGATATAGTCCACATCCGAGACCGAGGTTCCATCTTCGAAGTACACCGTCCTCTGCCCATTTTCAATGGAGACGCGCGAAATGGGTGGTTTGCGATTGATTGACGGGTGTCGGAACGCGTAATCCCCAAAATAAGGATTATACCGACCTCGGACCACAGCGTGGATGGGGGATTGTGCAGAGCCGATCAGGCTGACTGCTGTATCTGCTGCTGACACAGAAGCTCCAACGGTGACGACTTTCTATATGTTGTTAACACCGATTGTTGAATCTAGAGTCTTGATAGCACCATACCTTTCCGCGATAGCGTTCGGGACCACGATACTGCTTCGTGTGCAACACGCTCTCTGGGTCTTTGTCGATCCATTCTTTCAGGCCGGGGATAGAGGGGACATAAGGCACAGAAAAGTGCCCCGAGGCAACCACCAGCGCATCAAACGTCTCAGTCCACCAGTAGTCATACCCACCCGGCTTGCCAGACCGCCGCAAGACCAGTTCCCATTTACCGGTCTTAGGGTTTTTGACCGCACGTTCCACGGTCGTGTTGTATTCTACAAGATCTTGATAACCATTGCGGTTCAGAAGATCCTCAACATACTGCCGAATCACGGTGTGGTGACGGAAAGGGGTGTCTGGCCCATGCACCGCGATTGACATCTCCGAGCGGATTGTCGGGATTGACTCTTGGGAATACTCCATGGTCGCAACATCCACATTGGTATGCAAATTCGGGTAGATATGGGAGTCAGTAAAGCGATGCTGGGTCAATGCTGGTGTGAACGCAGGCAAATCGGACGGAACTGGGAGAGGAGCATCCGCTGTCCTTGTGGATAGCTTATCGACATCCAAGGGCACCTGTTTCTCGTCTCGCGAAACCCTAGTGTCGATTAACTATCGGTCGCGTAAACCAGCAAAGGATTGCTCCCAAGGCCTCTGGTAGCAGCTGTATAGACATACCAGCACCCACCGGCTTTTTCCTGTCTCTCGAATACGCGCACCCGGTCAAATGCTTTCTCCTGCATCAGGGCATCCACGGCAATAGCGCCCGCAGGCCCCGTGCCAATGACAGCCACGCTTTTGATTGGAGACATCTTGACGCAAGATCTAACGCGTCGGTGGTATGCAAACCGATGTTCTATAGCTCCAGGAATTGCTCACCCCCAGGGTTGGTGGTTGAGGTTATCCTGGATTGCAAGGGGTCAGTTTCTGAATTGTTCTAGCCAGCTATCTTGATGCCAATCATAGCGCGGATGGCGTCAGCGGAGCCCAGTAATAAACCGACATGGGCGCGGGTGATCATCCAGCCCATTTCTATGCAGGAATATTGTACTCACAGAAGCTTCTGTCCCTAATCTATGTTTCTGTGGCTTATCAACGACGAGACCTAACCATTGCGGTTCCGAAGCACGGTTCACTTTGCGTTTATCTCATTTTTCTTCGTTCTCGACGCTGACTGGTCCATCTCAGCCTCTTGTCACGTGGCTGCTGTTAGTCAGTTTTATAAGCACTCCCATTGGCCATAGTTACACCAAACCGGTTCCTTTCCAAGCATCACAACCAATCAGCTTGTGACATCGGTTGGAGTCTTTCGGTATCCAACTGCAATTGTGATTGCTTTCAACGAGTTCGGAAAGACTCCGAAACACTCTCAGTCGCGGTTCTTGGATCAATGCTCAACTTGCCTTATCGGGAGATGCGGAGTAGTATGAATGAACGTCCTTTCATCCTCCTCATACTGGACTCTTGTACATAGTGGGAATGAGTAGTCTTTGGTTGTACTCAAAGGTCGCAGAAGACTGAGCTGGCAATCACGGTGATCTTTATTAGGGTTAGCAGACCTCCATGATATAACACAGCCTGCTATGTTTGTCCAGGGTCATGGAATCTACCGATACAACCATATAGATGCACTAAGGTAGTCGCTATCAGGACATACAAGGTCAAAGGCAAGCGACAGAACTAGCGAATATTGTGCAGTATGGCGACATTGGCGCATGAGATATATCAAATTCGCAAAATCATCCACTGCATAGACCTCGTCTGCAACTTTGAACAGTTGTACTCTGCGTGATGGACTGATCATCAAATCTCGACACTTAAAGCGTACTTCCGAGGTTCAACCATTTGGCCAAGGATTCGTCATCAACAGTCCAGTTTTTCCTGAACAACTGTGACATCCTCAAGCATTCTTCAAGGGAATGGCTTCTCCGCTGACAAATATCGAAACTCCGTCCAAGATCATGACATCGTAAGCCTATCTGTAGTCACTAGTAGAGTAACTAGCCCCGAAGAAGATCAACCGCCCACCACATCTGGGCACTGTTGGGCGGTACTGCCTCTGATTAGCCCAAGAGTCTAATTAAGTTAGTTGTTCCCCGCACGTGAGGATGATCTTTCTTCAATGAACCTGAAACACCTGTGGGTTTCATGGTAGTTCTCGGAGCCTAAAATTTGAGTCCTGGGCAGTTTTCCACTCATCTTAGATGAATCTGACACCTGCTCATGTCCGGTAGAGTTGCATTGACTGGGTCAGTGTATGTCCTTTTGCTTTAGATAGATTGGTGACGTGTAAGGTTTAACACGAAACTTCCAGAACTTGGGATATGTTGGTAGCCAATCAATACTTGGTCTTTACTTCCGATGAAAGGAAAGCACGCAACTACACTCACGTCTGATGCCAGATTAGACAATAAGTATCTGCTAGACGTATGAAGCATGTCATGAGAACGGGAGAGTCGTAGACACTGATTAGTAGACTGAGGAATGCCCATTAATTCAGAATCAAGGTCAATAGTTCTGTCCCTATTGTAAAAGAGTGCACATGTCAGCTGGGGAGGGGCAGAGTTGGTTTCACAGGGAGATTTGCCATACTGTCACACGAGCGAATAACTCTCATTAGGCTGGCATGAGCATGAAACACCCTGTTTGGCGATTTGATACAAGAACTATATTATGTGGAAGTAGAAAAGACCCAATGTGATGGTTTTGCATCATATTCAGATAGGCTCAGTGTATGGGAAGTAAAACGCTCTTGGTCGAATCATAGCAGCTACCGATTCTGCAATGATCCAGGTCATAGTCGCCGCCGCAGATGAGATCATCTCTCCAGTATGGGTAATTGATTAATATAACAAGCCAGATGCATAATTTGAGGAGCTGTCCATTGACAGTCAAGTACGTATCAGTACAAAACGGTCAAAAGCTTGTCTGCATGAATACTAAGTACGGAGAACGTTTCAGCATGGAGCATAAAATACGTTAGATGGTGTGCCTTGACTCGAAAGGTCACAGGGTTTATTCAGTAATGATATGTATATTCCCTTCTTGAATGAAGTGTGCAGGAGGAGGCTCATAATCCCTCCTAAATCTCACAACCCTATCAGCATGATAAAGTCTGAGATTCTATCATTAGCCTTTATGCGTATGGCTTTTGTAAATTATTAAGCCACACAAATCTGGCCATTGTATAGTGATATTTGTGCACCTTTATTTACCTTTGCTACTAGATATTTAGGTATCTCTTGAATGGCTATTATATCGGCCTAATAATCAAATGAAAACTGGCGCAGGAGTCCTCTGCCTAATGCATACGGCTCAGACCTCGACAGTGTTTGTAGAAATTACTCACATGGCAGTCTCTAGCTTCTGCCTCCTTCAGCATAGTCTGACATTCCGTTAGCGAATATGACAAATCGATGCTTTCATGCCGGGCTTTGTGCTTTAGGCGGCAAATTGCAGTATGTATGCATGTCTTGACGTATTATCTAAGAGTCAGTGCATATCAATACTATCAAGTATAGCAGATTAGGGTCGCCTACCAAAGGCAGTTAATGACTTTGATGCCTTAGGCATAAAGGGTGGGAGATAACTCCGCCGATCGACCCTGCGATTGCTCCACATTTGCCCGTTCCAACTTGTTCTTCTTTTTGAGTCTCCGAGTTAGGACTTCCAGAAGATTTGGGAATGGCCTTGTCCTTCAGGGCCGCGTACTCAAACCAGACGACGGATAAGCCATCTACCGTCCGGAGGAATACCGTGCCGTCTCCCCGCAACCGTGAACCTTGATCCACCACAAGTATTATAGCTGACGGACAACGGTCTGGCAGGCATTCCTCCTTAGGCTTTATTCTCTTACAAGTGGTCGGGCTGTCTAGTCTGGGACTTATGACTGGGCTTATCAGGCTTCTGGAATTGCCTCAGCAAATGATCTCGTCCACACTACTCTATGGCATCTGCAGCAAGGACTCTCGATACAAAGGCCAATGGACCGTCCGTCAACACTTCAAGGATAAAGTCAAGGCTGACGCAACCAGCCAGAATGTACCTCGGGCACTGATCAAGTGCCCTGGATGCTTGGAACGCTGATCAGGAACATGGTTGCGATTATTCGCTCCGATTGGCGGCTGAATCAACCATGACCCATGCCTATTCCGAAGGACGACTCCAGACCCATGGCTCTCCACGTTTGTGATTGCGCTTACATGGGCAGGGAAATTTACTTCCTCAAGACCCTGAATTTGTCAGTATGCATCACACAGAGAATGTTTCATGGGCTCATCTGGGGTAAATTGGCTAATTAACATCATACAGTGACTGGTGGTGCCATGACGGACGTGTCGAATAAGGCTGGGTCCGTTCCCTCCCTCTAACGGTTCGGCCTCATTTTTGGGAGCATCGATCAATTTCTGTCTTGGACTAAAACCCCGAGCCCGCCAGTGTTTCAAGATCCCTGCGGTTCAGAGTTGTGCATCTGAGCAGACACAGCAACCGACTCCGAAGCTAAACTTGCTCATGAGGCGGATCGATGTTGGTTCTGTCCCGCAATAGTAAGATGCCGCTTGCATCATCTGGGAACGCGTGCTCAATCCCATTGCAAAACCTGGTTCATCGATGATCTCATCCGATCAACCCTCACGGACGGCATGTTGAACCCCTATGCCTATCAGCATATCACCTCTTCGCGAGCGTCACCCACCGGCAGACATATAAAGGATCCTCGTGGTCCGCGTCCCCTACCCACTGTCTATCAGGCTTCATCGCTTCCTTTCCTTCAAATTTGATAGTCGCAGCTCTCGGGCTCCTCATCCTTTCTTTCCACAACACTTAGGATAACAATTACTGCAATGAAATTCCAACACGTCGCACCGGTGTGCCTTGCGGGCTGTGCCCTGGCCTTGCCGACTCCGGTCGAGAAGAGACAGGATCTCTCCGACCTCCTTCCGTTCCCTATCCCAAGCGGTCTAATTCCGACTGGCCTGTCCCTCCCATCTGGTCTCTCCCTCCCTTCAGGCTTCCCCAGCTTCTCTCTGCCTACGGATCTGTCCGACCTAGGCTTGAAGCGCCGGGACGTGCCTTTCTCTCTGCCCTCTGGTGCTGCACTTTCTACAGACTCCCAGGGATTGTCTCAGCTCCTGCCCTCTGGTCTCCCCGACCTGTCCGGCCTCGGAATCACCCTTCCCACCGGGCTTCCATTTGAGAAGCGCCAATTTGGCGGTGGTGGGGGCCCTGAAGGCGGATCATCTGGTGGTCCATCCTTCGGCGGTGGTTCTGGAGGCCCGTCTTTCGGCGGCGGCGACTCCAGCTCATCCTCCAGTCCCTTTGGAAGCATGCCCAGCTTGGGTGGCGGTGACTCCTCTTCCTCCGACTCCTCCAGCCCCTTCGGAGGCCTACCCGGCCTTGGTGGTAGTGGCTCATCCTCCTCCCAGTCCGGCGGCTCTCCCTCGCCCTCCAGCGGCTCATCATCCTCCGGCGGAATCCCCGACTTCCTCAACGGCCTCGGAGGCTCTTCCAGCGATTCTTCTAGCTCTGCTCAGCCCTCCAGCGGCAGCCCTCTCGGCGGCCTCTCCGGTATCTTTGGCGGGCTCGGGGGCGATTCCTCTCAGTCTTCTAGCAGCCCCTCTAGCTCCTCTCAGCCCTCCAGCAGCGACCCATTCGGCGGGCTCTCCGGTATCTTTGGCGGGCTCGGAGGCGACTCCTCCCAGTCTTCCAGTGGCCCATCCAGCTCCTCCCAGCCCTCCAGCAGCGACCCCTTCGGCGGGCTCGGAGGCGACTCCTCCCAGTCTTCCAGTGGCCCATCCAGCTCCTCCCAGCCCTCCAGCAGCGACCCCTTCGGCGGACTCTCCGGTATCTTTGGCGGGCTCGGGGGCGGCTCCAGCTCCTCCTCGGCTGGGGGTGACTCCTCCAGCCCTTCCCAACCCTCCGGCAGCTTCCCTAACCCCTTCGGCGGCTCCTCTTCCTCTTCCTCTTCCTCCGACTCTTCTGCCCCGGCTCAACCCAGCGGCGACGCCCCCCAGCCCAGCGCCGCCTTCCCCAGCATCAGCCTCCCCGAGCCTACCGGCAGTAGCAGCAGCAGCAGCAGCAGCAGCAGCTCTTCCGACTCCAGCGACAGCGACTCTTCATCCTCTGCGTCGGACTCCGAGCCCTCTCTGAGCCTTCCGACTCCGTTGGCGTTCTCGCCCGGTGGTCTGAACCTCCCGGCTCCTTCGTCTAGCTCGGCTATTCCAACCAGCTCGGCTGTTCCTACTAGCACTGCTGTGCCGACTGCGCCGTCTTCGTTCAAGCAGTTTTTTGCTTAGAAAGATGGTCGACACGGGGTATACACAGATGGGTGGGTAGAAGTAGGTAGATGGGATGAACGGGCGGAGGAATTGAGGTGGTGAGGATGGATTAGGTGGATGTGATGATGTCATGCTTGCTGGTCAGGATATGAGGATATGAAATTTACATGGTAGTTCTTTTTGTTGAGATGGTTGTGGTGTGTGCCTAGATTGTCAATGGAATGGATGGTCAGTTCGTCGTTTAAGTGTGGTTCATACCGTAGTAATCTGTTCTGTGGATTGATCTTGGGTATTTCAAAACGCATTTGGTTCAGGGGAGGTAGCCAAGGTGGAGGAGTGATGAGAACCGTCCTGGCTGTCAAATAGGTGATATATATGCAGTGATACAAAATAGAATGGACATTGTAGTACCCCTTAGACCCAATTCATGAATGTTACTCTGTTCTTTTAACCGTAAAATAATAGATTGCCTTTATCACTAGATACTGAGCCAAGCACATTATCAAGCAAGACACGATACCACTGCAGAGGTGTAAACATATGCAGCGTTTTCAAAGTGTATTCAAGTAAACACGTCAGTCGCATAACGCATGCTCGCCTTCAAGTGATCAAAGAACTTTTCGACCTCCTCATCATTCACCTCAGGTGGGACATCTTCCTGCTTCGCCTCCAGCGCTACCCGACGGCGCTCCTTCATCACATCGACGTAGATATTGTTAAACGCTTGGCGCACAGCCTTGCCTAGTTCCGCACTTCCACAAACATAGATCCTAGCGCCTTGCTCAAATAGCGAAACTACTTCGTCGCGGTCATTTGTAATCCGGTCCTGGATGTGCTGGGCTACGGAGCCGTCGGTGGGACGGCTGTATGCCCATCTGACGTCGACGATTCCCTTGCGAGACCATTCAGCGAGCTCTTCTGCGTGAATGTCGTCCTTGCCTTTGGTGCGACAGCCGACATAGAGAATAGCCGGGGCGGGCTTTTCGGTAATAGAGTCGCTTCGGCTGAGGATCTTTTCAGCCCGGTCCATGACAAAACCGCGGAAAGGCCCTAAGCCGCTTCCTGCGCAGGCCATTATCATTGGCGTGTTCAGGTCGGAGGGGGGCTTGAAGCCTGAGTGGGAGGGACGGACAGCGATGTGAACGCGTTCGTCGGGTTGGAGAATGGAAAGGTAGGTAGAGGCTACGCCCATGTACGGCTCGTCTGTGCCGGAGAGAGAGGGTGCGTTGAGCACGGACACTGTAATTGAGCATTCTGTCGGGTCCTGGAGGGGTGAGGATGAAATAGAGTACTGGCGTACTCGCATGGGCGGGAGCATGGCTAGGAAGTCGCCAAGGGGTAGGCCGATGGAAGGATAACGATCCAAGATGTCCAGCAAGCTGAGGCGTTTGGTGACAACCTCCTCATTGAAGCGGCTAGGACTGTTCGCCATATATCGCAGCTCGGCCTGGGATTCTTCGTCGGCCATAGCTGCATCTGCCAGAGCAATCAGGTCTCGTTTGGACGCAGGTTGGGACAGTTCAACATAGGAGGAGAGGAGAGCGAAGGCGGAGATAGGGGTGTCAATTGGAATGGCTGACGGTCCGCTTTGGGTCTGGGATGGCTTGCGAACAGTCAAAAAAGCATCCCAAGGCAGTTTGAACCGACGCATTGCTCGACGGACGATGCTCGTTGGGTTCACGGGAAGCACGGCAAGGTAATCACCGCACTGGTAGGTCATGTCGCTTGGGAGTTTGATTCTCACCAGTCGTTTCGCTGAAACGTCAGGTGCTGTTAGGAGTTGGTTCTCAATCACATATCCTTCCTGCAGCTGAAGACCCAAGGTTGTCACTCGCTTTTCCGAGCTGAATTCGACTTGTAGGCCTGAGCTGGCTTTCTTGCCAGCCTGACCCTGAGCTTTGGAGCCAAATTTCGCACTTATGGCAGGCCATAATGCCGACTCACTCCAGTTATCGAAATCAGTAAACATGTCGGCGATGGCGGTATCAACTAATCCAATATCACACAAGCGATTCCCACCATGCTCACCCACCAGCTCATTGATGGCTTTTGGAATCCGGTAAAAGGTGGCAGTCCAATCATCTTGATAGAATCGGTGATCAGCGAAGTTACATAGAACAGAAAACGCATGGGTGATAAGGAATACTCACGATGTCCACAACCGAATACGGCATAATTTATGCCCTCGAGTTCATTATCCTTCGCTCCGCTTAGCCACTCGAAAAAGTGGGCCGCATTGTCAGCGGGTTGGCCTTCATAAGATGCAGCAATGAAAACCACAGGATCTCCTTTCGGAACATTCTCGGTGGCGGAATCTAATGAATTGACTCTGGCACTAAATCCCCATGCGGCTGCATCATCTGCCAATCTCCGAGCCAAAGCCTCGCAAGTTCCGGTGTTGCTACCGAAGAAAATGTGCATCGGCTTCATGTCTCCCTCAGGAAGGGCTGCGTCTTTCTTACGTTCCCTGCTAGCTACCTTGGAAGATTCAGGAGGCACGGATCCACTGTTCAAAGCTGACTCCAACGTTATCGGGTCCAGCCCATGCCTGAGAGTAGCTCTCATCTTGAAATCCTGCGGCTTGATAGTGAGTGTCTGTTTGATCCGCAGGTCATAGCTTGGATCATCCAGCTGAAAGTTGAAATTTTGCAACAGCAAAGCAATCGCCAGTAAGCCTTCTTGCCAGGCAAATGGCCGCCCAATACAACCTCGCATGCCATTTCCAAAAGGCTTCCAGGCGTTCCGAGGGAGATTGTTGAAATTCTCATCCAGCATCCTCTCTGGCTTGAAGTCCTCGGCGTCCGCACCGTAGACCTTGGGGTCGCGGTGTAATTTCGGGAGAAGCACTGTGATTGGCTCGTCCTTGTTTAGAACATATTTTCCATTGCCCAAGGTCACAGGGTCTTCCTTGTTCTTAGTCGGATGTGCATGGACTCTTATGGCACTCGCCGGGGGGTTAAGGCGTAGTGCTTCTCGCATGACTGCATTGATATACGGCAACTTGGGGAGATCATCCACGGTAATCTTCCGTCGGCCAATCACCGTGTCCACTTCTTCCTGTGCCTTTTTGTACGCAGGTGCATTTTTGAGTAGATAATAGAAAACAAAGGACAGCATTCCAGATGTAGTTTCGTGGCCTGAGAGAGAAAAAGGTCAGAACACGATAAATCACAACGACCAAACCCAGACAAGGTACCTACCTGCAATCAAAAAGGTAATCATGTTGTCAATGATCGACTCATCACTGAGGCCCTTCCCTGACTGAGGGTCTCGGCCAAGGATGAGAGCGTTGAGCAGATCCTTCTTGTCCGATGGATGCTTTCTCCTATCTTCGGTCAACTCCTTCGCCAAATTTCTCATGTAAGAAATATCGTTCCAGAAAGAATTGTTATCGCTCGTGGGCAGTTGATTTAACAAAGATGGCCGCTGTGCCCTATAGCTAGCTACCTGCAATCCACCAACCATCGCTTCTACGAAGGGGTGCATGCTATCGTGGTAGAAAGAGTTGAAGCGGGTTCCCATGGCGCAGAGAGCGATGGAGTCGAGAGTCAGGCGGGTGAAATCCTCCGTGACCACAATGGGAGTCTCAGGTCCCTGTCGAGCCCATTTCATGACGAGCTGGTTGGCAATGTCTTGCATCTCTGCGGCAGATTGACAACTCATTAGTCCGATGCAATAGGGGTAAAATTGGCGATGGGCTGCTTACCATCGAACATGGCCCTAATAGATAGGGGCCCGAAAGCAGGAAGAAGGACACGGTGCGCAAGCGCCCAATTCTCTTCGCCGGGGTAGCGGGCTGTGAATAAACCATCGTGAAGAAGATGGCGAAGCTGGCCCAAACCACCATCTACCGATTTAGCGAATCGCTCCTCATTGCACGCTTCATCGACGAGTTCTTGAGTAGAAATCACCACTCTCGACACGCCGAAAGTGGTCAGGCGGTAGATTGGACCTTGGCAGATGCATCAGAGTTAGCAGAGATAATCATCTCAATGAGAGGAAGAAAGAGTCAAGGCTAGCTGACTCTGGAGTGAGACGCAAAAGGGATAGAAAAAGCAAACATGACATTGTGGAGGGGTAAGGGCGGGGTTACCATATTGATCTGCCAGCAACTCAAAGCTTCGGATTGGCATCTCCTGGTCAATATCGTAGACATTTCCCAGAAATGGAACGCCTTTGGGGCCTGGGATAGGAACATGCTTTACGCTGCTCATGATGGTGTCTGGATATGGATTGGTGCCAATTGCAATAGGGCTCTTGATAGAGAAGATGATTAGTTCTCACAAAAGGTCTGGTGGAACAAACAACACGGGGTTTAAGTTTCTCTCAGCGACCACAGATCACCTGACGGACACACTTTGACGAGTCGAACTGAATTGGAGAGGGGACAGACACATGCAGGAAGGAGACTTTATACCTCGTAGAATTTTGGAAAATATTGCGGTCGGAGGGAACGTATGCCTGATGATGGTGCATAAGGTCAATGCAGATGAAGTGTCATTACTGCACACCATCATCTGCGGAAGGGAATCCCCAGCCAGAAGGCCGCCCGACTGCAATGCATACCAGGGCAACCATAGTGGCGAACGTCATGGGGCTGATGAGAGTGGATCATGATACAATGTAGATCAATGAGTCCAGAGGACGGGATCGTAAGTAATGGAGAAACAGCGCATCTACCGCGGCTTGTAAGCACTAGTGGGAACCTCGGCCAGCCAGAGATGGAGGTTTACTATTCATAGCTGGGGCATGAATTATGATTAGCAACGGGGGGCATATGATCGGTCCATCGGTATGTCCGACACGGAGATCGGTGACAACGGACCGATGGCTGAGGTTAGTAGAGACTCCGTGACAACTCCAAAGTAAGTAAAAGCAACGATCCATGGATGCTCTCTCTTTTTATGCCACTTATGCGTTTCGGTGGATCCAGATGATGCTTGATATGTGCGTATGATCAGTCATCATGGCCCCCACTTTGCTATCGAACTGGTCTCGTGGCGCAATGGTAGCGCATTAGTTTCCGGTACTAGAGGTTGTGCGTTCGAGTCGCACCGGGATCGTTCTTTCCTTTTTGCCATCCAACCGTTGTAATACTTTCTTTTTAGCATCCTTGCGTCATTGAAATCTCCGTCTTGAACCGTGTTCCCGGTTCCCAACCTTATCGCTCGGTCTCGAGGCCTGTCCACCGTGCTGAAGCGGCCTCATATGCGAATGCCCAGAGTTAATACACCCATCAATAATAATATTAGTAGAGCACCGTAGATGATCGTAGGCACGCTGCAGGACATGACAGACGGCGATATGACTCGGTCTGCTTCACTATGGAAGCTCTATACTACTTAGATAGGCCGACGGGGCTAGTCAGTATATCAGTCAGGGTGCTTAGCTGATTTCGCAAAGATATAGAAGCAATAATCTGCGTAGCCCAGAAAAGAATCCGTTTAAATGCAAGTTGGTATATATACAAGAGGAAATGAACGCTCGTCCTAGGACCACAGGACTGGAGAAGATGATGGGAGCAATATGAACAAGATCAAGGAAAAAAATTCAGTAAAAGTAGGATAGTGCGCCGCTCTCCCGATCGTGGTGCTCACTCAATATGGTTCAAGAACAACTCCAGCGCGACCTTGGCCAGCAAAGCAGGCGCTGGTATGGATTGCTTCGCCGCGTTGGTGTGATGGGCACGCAGAAAGCTTCATACAAATCCCCACAGAAAGAGACAAGGTGGCACCCCTGGAACAGAGGTTGGAATTCATCGTTTTCGTCATGGACACAGAGGTCATTTTAGAATGGATACTTCAGCCGGCTAGGAGACTGGCTGGTAGCCCTTATGTTTCCATTCGCTTTGCTTCCACTCGGACTGGAAGTTGTTCATCTCCGTCCGTTCGGAATCCCACTTCGCATCGTTCAGGGCATGTTCGAGACGGCCCCTCTTGCGCTGCCGCACACAGAAGAAGATGAAACCAGCAAGACAACTGGCTCCGACAGCTGCTACGCCAATGCCGACACCAGCCTTTGCGCCACTTGGTAGCTCGTTCCATTTTTCGGACAGTGACTTCGGAGGAGGCTTGTTGAGCTGTTCCACGGTGGTCGAATTACCACTAGGATTGGAGAGTCAGTATTGTAGGTATAGTGGGAGAAATCGGCTATAGGGAGTTACTTACGACACGACCTTGATGCTCTCCCAGGATCCCGAATGGTCTGAGTACGTATACTCCTTGCCGGTGTGGAAGTCATGCACGCGAACCTTCTCAACTACCATGGTGTACGGGCCAGCCGAGTAATCAATCTCACCACCTGCCCATACAATGGTACCATGAGGCTGACTGGGATCGCCGGCAGGCCAGATTCCAAAGCGGATGTTGCTGGGGGTCTGGGGGAAGTTCTTGCCACCCACAGCATCTTCATACTTCAGCGTGCGGACCAATTGCTGGTCAATCCACCACTCGACCTTTTCGCTCGTCCAGTAGGTGGTATAGTTATGGAATTCCGTGTCGGCATTAGGAACGTAGTGGAAGCCACCCCGGTCGAAAGACGTGTTGTTGCCCTTGCCGAAATAGTTGGACTGTACCTCACTGGTGTTATATCCCACCCACTCCCAGTCGATCTCGTCCAAGTCATCCGATTGGAGCACCACACTGCTCACTACACCACCACCCTTGGCCATCTTGACATGGGACTCGACAATGCCAAAGAAGATGAAGAAGTTAGATTGCATAGTGGGCGAATCCATCTTTTGAGCGATGGAGAATTCCGCACCCTCATCGGTGATGCCAATATTGCCGTTGGTGACATTCCAGATCGTGTCGTCGAGGGTAGAGTTGAAGTACCAGGTATGATTGGTACCTAAGGCTGCGTCTGCAGGACATGTTGTATTGAGTGGGTTACAGTTGCTGAAAGTCTGAGCGGTAACAAGACTAAGACTGGCTACCAGCAGCGCCAGTACATGAAAGAGTGACATGATGGCAGGCTGTGTTGTCGAGGGTCACCACTCCTCAGAGATCTTGGTTGCAATGAGCGGAGCGACTCGGGTCAAGTTGCGGGTCAAGGATCTCTCCCGAATGTGATAAAAGGTAACAGAGGGATCTAAATGGAGAGATCAAACCCTACAACGGCGTTGTCGAATATCCAACTGTTCCCCACAAGAAAGAAAAGAGTGACGATTATTGAATGAATGGCAGTGCGATCGAATCGCACGAGGTGTGTTTGATGCCCACCGGCAAGGGAACGAAGGGGAGCAGGAGGAAGACAGGAACGAGATGAAACGGAGAAGAACAAACGACAGGAGAGGAGAAGAACGAGAGGGTATGACGGTTTTCCTTTTAATTAATTTAGAGCCATGGCATCCAACCCACACATGGGCGTTGGCAAACACTTTGCTTTCCCTTCTTTTTTCGTCCCCTCATCACTAATATCCGAGTCATGCTTATTTTTAAACCAGCATGTCTCTCTTTTTTTCTTTCCCTACATTGGATGTCACTAGTTCGGCCCTAAACATTAAGGGGCACTTTTGAAACAGGAAACTGCCCGACCAAGAGGGTATGGCTAAACTGTATTGGGCCTAGAGGGCTGCCGATCCACTCTGGATTGGCCACTAGCGGGGTCCCTGACCCTGACGCTAGTCTGATCTGGAAAGGGTCGCTTGTACCCGCCAAGACCCTGCCGCGATGGGCGATAAGCAACGCTCAGGCACCCAAATCCAATCAGCTCAGGGGAGCGTCGTTGGATCTTCCTGAAGATTAAATGAATTTGTGTTAGTATGGGTTAGTCTGATTTGATCCGGACCAGAGATAACAATTGCCACTGTGCGGGATTCGGGGAAGGGTCCTGCCAACAATTCCTCAGGCTGACACCCACAGTGTAAAGCCTCTGTTCCCTACACTCTTCATTAATAACCAGGGTCAAATTTGACCTTGCTTCGGAAGCATCCCAGGCACCAACATCCTGCACCTGGCCAAGACCCTTGGCCTGTCGAAGCCAAAGGCAGTCTCAGCAGGCGAATTACTAGTGGCGGGGCCGGCTGGGGAAGGTCTCAGGACAAGGCCAGTGCTGTGGCAGTGGCTGGTGGATGCCATTGAACAGTGGACACCACTGCGGCAAATTTTAGGTCCGTTAAATGGGGTGGTAATTTTGGAGTCAGGAGCCAGTAGTCGAGAGACACCGCAACCTCCCGCAAGGTTCGCCTCCTTGTGGATATAATAGGCGAACCATAATTCTTCACCCTGCAAAGATTAAAGATATGAGGATCAGCAGGAGGTCTCAGTGCTGCAGAGGCAGAACATGCAGATATAAGGAGCGTTTTCAAGGTGAGGTTGCAGACCGCTACCTACCAACTTATGCAGAGCGTGCAGTTTCGGATTTGCCAAGCATTCTTTCACCCACTGCCAACACCCGTTCGGATGAGCTCGAGGCCAAGATGCCGAACTGCAAAGAGGGTGCCTGACCTCGTATATTATTAGACGCCATCATCAGGGAAGTTATGCGCTCTCCCGGTACCCTTGTGTTTAGTAGGTTGTTGTACCTCGTTCGGTAGATTGTCGGCCCATGACTAGTGGGGAGAACTTACAGCCCCCTTTTTGGGGGCTGAGTACCCGTCCACTGCTGTCAACAGTCCAAAGTAGATCCGCCATAATTTTGGGGCACATGACGAGGGAGCTTTGAGTGAACTGGGGTATAGTAGACTATAATTGCGGCTGTTTTCTCGTTTCATCTGTCTTGTTGTGATGTAAGGGGAAAATATTAAGCGTCGCCAAACTTGACAATCCATCCAAGCTCTTGTAGAAACTCTCGTACTGCGGCTGGAGTACCGTTATTATATATCCTGACAACAATGGTATCTAGGGGTGCTATTTCCTTTGTCTGGGCATCGACCTCCAGGCATATCTTCCGAATAAACTTATTGTTCATCTGGTCATTTGCAACCAGAATGTTGGCAAATTGACCAAAGATGAGCATTTCCAATGTTTTCAAATTGGCACAGCTTTGCCGTAGTAGCTGTAATCTTCGCAAGCTATCTGTGAGTCTCGGCTCTCCGGAGGCGCCTGGTATGTGCTCGGTGACCGGAAAGTTGATGCATAGATGAGACAAGATCCCGGAATTTTTAATCCCGATACAGTTCAGGAAGGACTCCAAGAGAGTGCCTGGACGACACGCCGTCTCCATCTCGTGGAAGATGAACCGATTCTTACTATACAGAATCATTCTGGTCTCGTCCGATATTTGTCGGCTGACGTAGATCAATGCAAGCCACGAGCCGGGTTTTTCGGGTGCAAAAGCTTCCAGTGGACATCCTGGGTCTTGGAAGATGTGAAGTGGATGAGGTAAAACGAGAACTTGTTTGTATATGCTGTTACGTATCTTGATAGGTAAATCCAAGAAATTGAGAGGCAATGGCGATGCTAACATTGTAGGCGTGTCTGCGGTACCTGAACAGGACATGATGAGAATATATCGAAGTGACTATGTTTGATGAGTGAAGCTGTTCGGCAGTTCTTTCAAGCTAAGTATTTCTTTATCAAGCGAAACAATGAAAGGTTTAGCGTTGCGTGATCTACATTAGTTAGCAGAAATGCAAGTTATTATACTTCTGTGGCAGTGGAATCTAGCTACTCACGAATTTGTCAATTACATCACCCGGGGATGTGCCATACTCTGCAACTCACTGGAAGATGTAGGCCAGATAATGACTCCCCTCATTCTACAGTTTGGTTTTGGAGGAAAGGAAGAAATCACTACAACAAAGGATGGAAGCCATGTGACTTGCGGAAGCGGGGGATGTCATGCCCTACCTCTTTCCGAGAATTACCAACCCATGGGATTGCTTCCCTATAATCCATGGTTGCATCAGTTCCACTGGATGCATCTAGATCTATTCTAGAGAGAACGAAATGATCAACGAAACATGACAACTTTAAGTAATTTGAGCTTTTTAGTCCCTATGTTGATGCCTAGGTTTACGGTAGAATATGCTGCCAAACTCACAACTCAAACAAGATCCATATCCCAAGCCAACCAAAGGATATGGGCATCAGTCGCTTCAACCCAAGGTTTACTGTCATTATTTCCATGCAAATAGGACGTAGGTATCCATAGCAATGATTTATTTGATTCTAACGCGATTAGAGTTTCTGAGTTCTAGGAATCTCCTTTGTCGAGCGGCATAGATGGGCGCAGACATCTCGCATCTGTGGCCCGACCACACATAAACAAAGAAGCGATGATTGACAGTATTCTTGAAGCAGCCAGTATATCAATATATAACTTGGTGAACCCAAAATAAGTCGCTGTTGTAGTCAATCTTACAAGAAAGTGCCCCATTTACAGAGATGGATACAATACCGCTTCCCGACCAGGTTTCTGAGCTCTACAATGACCTTCTTTCCCGCTGTGCACCCAATGAGCATAAAGATTGGGGACTCGCCATCACAGCTCTGAAGCTCCTCGCCATTACCCACAGACCATTTAGCATACTAGAGTTGTCCTGGGCGGTTACCCTGCATACCGCTCGTCATGTTACTACTGTTGACGATCTTTCCAAGCTAGTGGACCACCAAAAGCTCATGAGCATGATCCAGCCCTTTATCACAAGTGTTGAGCTTGATGACTTGAGAAAATACCAAGTTCAGGCCATAGACAAGTCGTTGCAGGACTTAATCAAGGAGAACTGGGCCACAAAATACTCGAATACAGAAGGTTCACACTCGGGAGACGATGGACAACGCTTTGAAAGCCCAGAAGCATTAATATTGGATATATGCGTGCGATATCTTCTTTTAGATGAGATAGGCGCCAAATTCGTGTTTTCCGAAGAGCAGATTGCGATTTCGGAGCTTCCGCAAGCGTCCGACTTGTTCAACGATGAGAAGGACCCAGTCAAGTACAATTCTCATTGCTCGTGGGAAGCTTGGGAAGAAGACATGACTCGGTTCAGTCCGACTGAGCGTGGATTGGGCGAGTTCTTTGTCTACGCGTCATGCTACTGGCCTGAATATTATCGTCTTGTCACGGCTGAGGCCCTTCCCAGACTAGCGAGCATCGAAAAGTTGTGTCAAGCCGACTCGAACCGACTTCGCAATTGGACTCAGCAAAACCGTCGTCCAGGCTGTGCGATGCCGCCGAGGTTCCCATTTGACAGCCAGCTATATGATCCCCTCAGTATCACCTGCCTTTATGGCTCTGTGGATATGCTGCATTTCATGCTCAGAGATTCTAATTTTGACAATGGCAACTTCCTCGAGACGACGGCCACGAAGGCAGCAGATCAAGTCCTTCAATGGGGAGACATGTCCAGGCTCAGGGCACTTTTTCTGGATCCGAGACTTGGTCATCAGCTACGAAATCTGGACTTTTTTCGCCTGATTATCCGCAGGTGGCGTGAATCGAGTGTCTGTCGACCCGACTGGGAAGATGCTTTTGCACTGATTGACCTCATGAGAGATCAAATGGTTCAGCAGCAATGGGGATATGAGCTCTGGTGCATAGCTGCCAGTGCAGGCTGCGCGCCCATTGTTCAGAGATTACTGTCTGGCGCTCGGCATAATGAAGGGCTTAGAAGAGAGCTACTGCGTGAATTCTCACTCATGCCACAAGTGGCACCCTTGAAGTGATATGGTCATGTGGTGGTAAACTGGCTGGGGGAATTACAACGAACTACATCGTCATTATCTGCCTGCGGCAAGAATATGCCCTTCATTTGACCTTCGACGCCGTATCTCGGAGACGTTCCCTGTGGTAATTCTCCTGATTTCTGCACGTTTTGATTAGGATAGAGCACAAGTACTATATGAAATAACTTCAGACTTGTCACAAATACTACAGGATGGTCAGAGTCAACTACACTCTATTAAAATCTTGATCTTTCTGTTGTATATATCTACGTACTAAGATGCTGATTTGTAAACCCCACATCTACCTCCAAACAAGAAATGGCAAACAAATTGACGCATTTAAACCAATACCCGCACTAGCGAACTAAAAACGAGGTAAAATGATTCAAAGGGGAAGGTCAAAAGCAAGCGGGTCAAGAAAAACATGCCGGGTACCATCGGCATAACGGAATTGGCCCACCCCAAGGTTGAGTCATTCCTTCTAGACACCACCCAAAGCACTCTCTAATAGCTTCAAGCGTGTTACATACCTAATCTAATTCCATATAGCATTGTGGCACTCTTTTCGTCGCTTTAAACCACCCTTACTCTTGCCCAACAGGTATTCACCATATCTCACAATATGTCTATACCTAGCGGCCGGGACGAGCAGCAGCCCGTCATATGCGTTTTGTAGGTCAATCCCAAACCTAATGAGCCCAATCCGCCTAAACCCCATAACCAGCAATCTAATCTACTGATTCCATGCAGTTGCGGCGCCCAACCCGGCAATTCACCCGAGTACATAGCCGCCGCTCGCGCACTCGCGCATGAACTGCACGCCGCCAACGCGAAACTAGTCTACGGAGGCGGAACAAAGGGACTGATGGGCGAGGTGGCAAAGACTCTAGTATCACTATCTGGCCCATCTGCAGTGCATGGCTTCATACCCAAGGCACTGGTAGCACACTATCCCGATGCGGACGTCAGCCGCCAGGCCGAGGGCAATGCCCAGGAGGATGGGAAACAACCCGAGCGAATGCTCGCCCCAGGGTCTTCGCCAGCTGAGGGCGAATACGGAAAGATAACCATGGTGGACAGCATGCACGAGCGAAAACAAAAAATGGCAGAGGAAGTTCTTGCCGGTGGTCCTGGGTCGGGGTTTGTAGCCCTTCCGGGCGGTTATGGGACCCTGGAGGAGGTCGCTGAGGTTATTACGTGGAATCAACTGGGGATTCATGATAGAGGGATTGTTTTGTTGAATGTTAATGGGTTTTGGGATGGGCTTGTGACGTGGATTGAAATGGCGGCTCAGCGGGGGTTTGTTGGACAGGCGAATAAGGGTATTATGGTGGAGTGTAAGGAGGTAGAGGAGGTTATTGGGGTGCTTAAGGCGTATAGGCCGAGTGGTGGGAGGTTGAACCTTTCTTGGGGGAGTAAGTGAGGAAGAAGCGAGGGGAGGTTGGGGGATGGGCGGTATTTCGAGGGCTGGAGAATAAAGTTAGAATTCGGGGCTTTCCGACAGTTGCCGGCTGCCGGCCAATTAACTTCGTCGTGTGCAATTTCATTATCAATGAGTCTGTCTGGGCTTCTGCTTTTATCCATAGTTTTTGTGCGAGCATTCGGTGTGGGCAAACGGAAAGGACATCATTATTTAGCCAGGCTAATATAACAAACACGCTTGTTAAACCGCATGGCTACCATGTTCCGTCTCTTCTTTCATTCAAAAATCCTCAAGTTCCATCAGGATTGCTGCTTTAATATCATCAGAGGCCCAACAGATATCAACGGCATTCCGTTGTAGCTGGACGAACTCCGCATCAGTGAAATTTCCCAGTACACGAAGCAGGTAAAGACTGTTGTTCAGCCAAATATCCTCCATATATGATGGGTCGTCACTGCCAATGGCTATTCTGATGCCAGCATTAAACAACGTGCGAACCCGATCAATAATTTGAGCCTCTCCAGAGTAGCACAGATAACCCCACGGACAAATCGTCATTCCAAGGTCCTTTTCTTTGACCCTCTGAAGAAGAAAAGAATCATCGGCGACATGTAACCCATGATCAATCCTGTCCGCTCCACTTCCTCCCAGCTGGTCAACCACTTGCCCAATATTCCTCAGTGTATCCTTGTCGCCGACGTCGCAATGGCAGGTAATTTTGAAACCATCTTTGCGAGCGCGGAGAAAAACGTCTTCAAAGAGCAATGGCGGACGGTCCACCTCTAGAGAGTCCAGTCCGATTCCGACGATCATGTCGCGATATGGTAGTGCCTGGAGATAATGCTCCATAGCAGATTCCGGGGACATGTCTCGCAACATGCACATGATCCATTGAGAGTGGACCTATAACAATTCTCAGTGGGGATCTTAGGACATAAGAAAGGGTCTTAACCACCTACCCCAAGATCTCGAACAGCCTCACTCTGCGCCCTCTTAAACCCATCCATCATTGTTTTAAGAGGAACACCTCTCCGTGTATGACCCTGCGGATCAAAGAACGGCTCACAATAACGGACATTCATGGAAGCAGCCTTCCTAAAGTAATTCATTGCCAGATGATAAAAATCCTCTTCATCCTGAAGGACACTGAAACCACCGTAATACAGTTCAAAGAATCGCTGCATTTCACCATCTACACCACCTGCATCAAGGTCATTGAGGAGCTCATACGTACTCTTTAACTCCGACAAACTCTCGCAAGGCTGCTGGGTATTGATATTGAGAACTGACTCTCCGCGCCGTTGCGCGAGCTCCCACCGGAGTTCGGGTGTCATCGTGCCCTCGATATGAACATGCATTTCGACTTTGGGCATGTTTTGGATGAACTTGTCATTGTGCTGGTGGATTGTGTTTCGATAATCTCGCAGGGTTTTGTTTGAGAGGACAGACGCGTTCAAGGCCATGATAGATAGAGTGGAATGTATAGCGGGAAATACAGCTCCGATTGTTGACTTGGGATTGGGAAGCAAATGGATTGAACGTCTTTCATCTATCTTTCAAAACTTGGGGGATAAGCCCTCTTGGAAGCGTGTCATATCGACCGGACGCCTGAGAAGCGGGGTTTCTGCCAACTAGCAATGATTGGGCGCGGGGTTACGATGTAATACTACCACTGAGTAGTAGATTGTCATGTCTGACTGCAGATTGATTGGAGCGTCCCGAAAACCTTGCATCGTCTTCGAAATACCACCGATGTCCCCGTACCTTATCTCCGTCCACCCTGGCCACCCTGGCCACCAACTGTACTAATCTTAAGATAGGCTTAGTCTTCCGTCCCATGGTTTATATGCTCTACAGATTTTGATACTCTAACATATCTCAAGTGAGGTAGGGGCAACATAGGTACTGATTCAGTATTATACTAAAGATAATGGATAATGGCAAGTATATTCATTCCTCTAGAGTCCTGGATCGCAGTCAGCTTGTACTTCTTCCTAGTATATTTGTTCCAAATTCCAGAGATCCTTATACCATTACTATATTTCCTTTCTGTATCTATCTATATTCATAGCGTATGATCCAGTACTTATTCTCTTCTCAGCAAGCGTGCAAATTTGCCTTAATCATTCTCAAATAGTTGACTCCCAATCCCTTTCATGTACCTCAATCATCATCTACATATCGTTATAACTATACACTGAATCCCCTCGAACACATCGCAAACCAATATTTCAAAATCACAAATATTATTCCTCAATATATCATATAACCCCATAAATCATAGCTCATTATACTCCCTTACCAACAGAAGACACATACACCATCCCAACCCATCCCATCCCCCCTAATCCTCCAGCCCAACCCCTCCCAATCCGAATTATAAAATCAAGAAAGATATACCTTCGTCGGCCTCCTCACCGACGACCCCCCACCATGTCCTGACGGATGCTTCTCGAGATAATAAACCGTGGGACTACTATGACGCCGTCTTCTTCTCCTTGTCGTTGAGGTGGCCAAGTTCGCCTCGCCGTAATCCGATCCCCCACTTGAACTAGACCCTGGTAGGGAACACAAATGCCATAGCCATAGAATGAGTAAGGTGCCTGCGATAGTGCCGAGGACGATGCCTGCGATGCCTCCGCCGGAGATGGTGTTAGGGCAGTCGGGGTCGGCGCGGGCGGAAAGGAGATTATTTGTGTTGGTGTTTGTTTGATGGAGGGGTAGTGGTGGTATTATTGGGGCCTGGGGTTGTGTTAGTGATTATTTGATGGTGGTTGTAGATGTTGGATAGAGTGAGTGGTGGTTGGCTCGGATGAGACCCGCTTTTCTTTTTTATCTTATGGCTGGGATGATGGGGATTCATTTCATTCATCCATGGATGAAGAGTGGGTGGTACGTACCATGGTTATTAGATTAATGGATTAAGGTCAATTATGTTGAAAATAATAGTTGATAGGAATTTGATGGGTATATTTTCACTGAATCGACTGAACTGAGGGCAATGTCCATCATATAACAATTACTCGCATCTTTCTACACTGTGCGGGAATCTCTATCCGTTGACGTCAACCACACGTCTTTGTCCCGACGATGCCAAACGAAGCAGCGATTGTCCGTTCCACCACGGCCCGGATTTCTTGTTCTTGATTTTTGATTCAGTTACGACGCGTGGAACTCTGCCAATGACTGTCCGTGAAAGAGTCAATTGGGTTTGATGTGCCTTGTGTTGAGGGTGCGGGGTATGGCTATCATTGGTGAGGGTTTGTCGGCGTCATTGTTGCAATTCTTGGTTTGGAGGCTTGCGGAAGTAGTTACCGGTTGGGAAATTATGGGGCTACTGTTTAGTAGAACGGGATAGCCGAGGTATGGGTAATTGCTTTAAGTCACAGTGTGCATGTGCATTTGCTCACTATTAGTGGTGGCTATCGACTAGAACTGGGTGACTAGCTTGCGCTGCCTGTCCTTCATATGCTCCGATGTCCCGGTGAGGGAGGCACACTGCCAGTATCCCAGGCTGCCATGTCTGCGCCTAGCTCAAACTCAATGGTACCGCCCTGGGTCATGACATCCTCGTGCTCGAACCAGTTCTTCGTCCAGGCTTGTCCGTTGATTTTCACGCTTTGCACATAGTAGCCCTTGTCTAATCCGTTCGCGATGATACGGAGTGTCTGGTTGCCATTGACGGTCATGTTAAGGTCTGGAAACCAGGGCGAAGCGAGAAGATACACTGGTTGTGTGACGACAGGATAGATACCCAACATCTGCCACAAGAGCCACGAGTTCATCGCCCCGGCGTCGCTGTTTCCTGGGACTCCATAGGCTTCGTCTCGGAAGCTATTCGACTTTAGTTACTGTGGATAGCAGAGGACATTGCCTCACTTACTACTGATACCCTAGATTCCGCGACTTTTCCACGCTTTTAGCTTGCTTGTTGATGTAATTGTATAAGTACGGAGTCGCAAAGTCGGGTTCGTTCCTTTCAACTGCTCAGTCATCCCTCATATGGCTGGATATTAGAACTGCCTACCCAATGTTTATGATTGTCGTAATACCTGCCCCATTTGCTCCAAGGTTCTGGACTGACATGTTCGGCTCAAACTAGAAAATGTTAGCTGTATGCGTACCCAGAGTTGTCATCTTGGTGAGTACCATCATATCCAGTCGGGATTCGAATGTATCAGCACCACCCATAAAGTCGATCAGAGTTTCCATGTCATGCGGTAGCACAAACGAGTATTCTAGAACATCATACTCGTCAGACCAATTCACAATTTGCAAATGGTGACCTACCCCAGGGAACACCTTCATACGTATATGCGAGCCATTCACATCCGTAACAGTAACGAGGGTCATAGCCACTGTTGTTAAACGAGCCGTTCGAAAATTTGGGCGCCAAAAAGCCACTAAAGTTCAGACTCTGCACATCCGGGTTCCAGATATGTTGCCAGCCAGCAGACCGATTCAAATACTTTTCTTGGTCGCTAGGCTCTTCCCCGGTGGCCACTTGGCTGACGGCAAAGTCGTTGAGACTATACTCCACGGTCCTAGAAATGCAGCGCGTGTTTCGATCTTGCGAGACATATCCTAGTTCTAACCAGTCACCCAAAGCACCACGCCCCTCCTTCGTACTTGCAGATAGATCAGTAGCGTCCCAAGTGTTGTATGGAATAACCTCCGCATTCGTCTTCATTGCTGCATAGCCATCCGTCCAATCAATTGCGCCTCGCAGACCCTTCACATAAGCATCTGCTAGCATGTTGTCCGCATCAGAGCCGCCCTGAACCAGCCCGTTCCAGTTCCCTGAGCGGCCATCTGGTAGGAACCCTTGATGTCTATGTGAAGATTAGCGTTGTGATGCTTTGTTCTCGTTTTTGAATGGTTTACCACGTGCCTCCAAATGTCGATAAGCCCTCGGATCATGGACTCATAGTAGGTGGGCTGGTAGACGTGATAGAAGCTGACTGTGCAGCGGAATATATCCCCTAAGTATGGTCAGTACCACTCTCTAGTTACCGCGCGAAGCCTCTTAGTACTGACAAAGCGTGTAGAAGTCATCCCAAAAAGGTTCGTCTGACTGCCACAGAGGGTTTTCACCGGTGCGGTCGGATGGCATCAAGTGGATAAAGTAGAGAGAACTATAGAGTAGTCGCACATTTGTCATATTCGCCGTGCTATCGAGAGGTACTTGAGTCTTGCTGAAGACATTCTGGTTCCATTCGTCAACAGCAGACTGCACGGTATCGTTCAGCGTCCAAGAAGGAATTTCCGATGTGATGTATGAGCGAGCCTTTTCTGTAGAGATGAAAGATATACCAACTCGAGAGCTGATTTGTGTTTCTGCTTGAGCATCCCAGCTGAAGAGCGCCCCGATACGGTCATTCATAGGGCCTGATGTCGCTTTATCGGTGGTGTTGCCATATGTTGGTTGAGGTATGCCTCCATTTGCCAGGTTCTGATAACGTGGCATCGGATCTGTGTTAGTGCCGGTAAATGTACGAGCATTCGTCGGTGCCGTAGAGAACTCGCCGTAGAAATAAATGGTAAAAGATGCGCCTTGAAGCCCCATTAGAATGCATGCGCGGTGCTACGGAAGAAGTGCGAACCATTGTTCCAGCCACCGATATATGTTCCATAACCGGTATATGCTTTTCCATTATCTTCAAGATTTATCTCGCCACCAACGTAAAACTGCCCATTAGAATCGCCGGGTGACCCGGGAAGATACTTTAGCCATGTTAGCTTCTTCCATAGATTCTGAGTGTGGAGAGTCATACGTGGGATATATCGACCAAAACGTGTTTCTCTCCTTCAGGGAAAGAATACTGAATGATACCGGCATGTCGGCTAGCCGAAAGTTCAATCTGTACACCATTCTGAAGCAAGGTCCTGAAATACCCCACACTTGCGGAGTCGTTCCCAACCTATTTCTGTGAGCTGGGACAAATGAATGTCAAGGACCGGCAGTTTCGTACCCTGGGCTGGCTATAAGTAAGGTTATCTAACAGATTTACCGGCGACTCTACAGAGGTAAGAGGCATCTGTGGTATAAGACCATATTTGGGGGCACCCCCGGTGCCGCTCTCATGCATCATGGCTAGTAGATGGAGATTAGGCACAAATTCCAAGTCTGCAAAGCAGTCCTAAGAGGATATAAACATACTGACTGCGGTTACATTTCCATCAGGTGTCCAGCCACTGTTTAGAACAGCGAGACTCCAGTTTGCGGCTGTTGTATCGATTCCTACCTTTACTACTCCAAAGGGTCGAGCACCACCAACGAAGATATCACCCCCTCCGTAACCCTGACCCGGAGTTGGGCCTTCCGATCCCATGAAAGGATTAACATATTGAGAATAATCCACTTGAGTGGCGGAGATAAGCTTTAACACTCCAACGACAAGAAGAAGCAACAGCTGGTTTGGAACGCGCATGTTTACAGCTCGCATGGTAAAGCACGAATAGAGGACGCTTCACGAGACTGGCAAAGCAGCGCGGGGGGGAAAGCTTATAAATAATAGATCTTCCTGGTTAATTAGATTCATGGAGAGATTCATGGAGATATGCCATTTCCCCGCGGGGATGATCAGTGCGGAGTCGGCTGCAGCTCATCCCTGGCAGGAATAATTCCACAACACATTGCATAGCGACTGCAGGAATGCTGTTTATAGTTCGCTGGCTTATGACCCCTCTCGCTGCCGCACTAGGGCCCCCGCATACTTATCAATTCTTTGACTGTCTCTGATTCTCGCATTCTTCGTTTTCTCCTTTTCTTCTTCACGCGGACGCCTTTAATTGTGGTAGACGTGTTTCCCAGGTAAGTCCCCATGTGTGCCATCCAAGGTCCCATTGATGTATCCGGGAGGTAACAAGATCAGAGTTACAGTGAAGTCATGCCAGACGAGGTACAGCGTCGGGTCAAATGAACCAACAATGGATAGCGTGTCATTGCAAAAGTTTGGTTAAAGTCAGTGGTTGAAGAGGGGAAGGCATGACCCACGTGGGAAGGGGACGTGTTTGTACATTCAACAAACATGAAAGTCATCAGTCATTGGATCCATGACACTCTTTGGATACCATTCAATCTTTACATTGTCAATACCTCAGTGAAGAAAAAGTAATTGAAACGAAGAGGAATATCTGGTAGGGCTTTGTGAGCAATTACTAAGCGGCACGGTCGGAGTATTCGGAGTCCAGATCGATTGAGTCGAACCATCTTCATCCACTGCCCCTTAGTTCGCCCGTCAAAGTGACAGAATGACAATAGCATCATGTTTCAGTGCTCGCAGTGCAACAAATCTTATCAGAGAAAGAGCCACTTGCTTCGACATGAAACAACACGTTAGGCCCCTGAACATCATGCCGCCTCAGGTACGCGGAACATGCTGACAACCCGACAGATACCGGCGCCTCCCATTCAAGCTGCCCTTTCTGCAATAAATCCTTCTTGAAGAAGTGCGTAAACCCCGCGATACCTCTGAATGAAGCCATTCTAATCCGATGCACGTCAAGGGAGGTTGCACGAAGGCATAGTAAGATATGTGCCAAAAAGCACAACCAGCCTCCTCCGGCAGCAGCTAAACCCGGGAGGAAGAAGCAGTCCTGTGACGAATGCTTCTTTGCGAAGACAGCCTGCGACAGGGCATCACCATGCTCTCGTTGCCAATCCCTTGGGAAACAATGTTCCTTTGAAGTTCAGACCCCTTCAACAGAGAACACTTACTCAATGTCTCCATCGCCCTCGCCATCTCTCTCGCAGACTCCGCAAAGAAGAAACGACCCATTTTTCTTCTTAGCACACTTCACTGATCCCGCTGTTAAGCAAGACAAACTTGCAATTGCAGAAACAGCCAAATCTTCTACTAGAAGGCATCTTGACCCGGCATACTTCCGACAGGAAGAACCACTCTTGCCCCACGACTCCTTGTCGGCTTACATGCCAGGCTTTTCAGGTGGTGATCTATTCCTTCAGCCTTTTTTCACCCCAACTGGGCATCTTTCTATGGAGTTTATGCCTGAAAGTGCATTATCTTCAACGATTTCCCACAGGCTCGGCGAGATTATGATGATTCTGGTCGAGACTTCGAATTCTATGGGCCAGGGCCAACAAGCCCAGCTCGAAATGGCGGAACTAAACTCGCTTTTCACGACCTCCAACCTTTCGGTGTTTATCTCGGCTTACTTTCAGTCTCTTCATTGGCATCTTCCAATTGTACATTTTCCGACATTCGATCCTGCAATAATCTCGAACCCTCTTCTCCTTGCAATATTCTTGGCTGGAGCAACATATGCTACCTCGCAAGATGGCCCAGTATTTGCAAGTAGAGTACTGGACGTAGCTGAGGAGTATATCTTCCGTCAGTTGGCTAATCTATCATCAAACCCTCACCCTACCAGCGCTCCCTATCTCCTACCTTCAGTGGAAGTTATTCAGGGAGCTTTGATCATCGAGATGCTTCAGTTTGGGCAGGGCGAAACGGGTACAAGACGACGCATTCGCATAATTAGACATCCATGTGTCATTTCCACGGTACGATCGTTGGGAGTTCTTCAGTTCAAGCGAAGTATGACATCTGATATGTGTAACGATGAGACATGGAGAGCAATGATCGCCGAGGAAGTTTGTATAAGGTAAGACCTTACCAGATGAACATCAATGTTGGGCACTTCTCACCAAGCTTCTCACCAACAGAATCGCCTGTTGGGCCTTCCTTGCAGACGGATTTCTCACCGTTTGTTTCAACAATCACCCTGCACTGTCGATATTCGAGATGGACTGCCAATTCCCCTGGAGCTCCGCTTTATTTGAAGCTGAAAACGCATCATCTTTTAGCGAGATCGCCGCTTCTTCTACGGCGGGGCGCCCGCTACCTTCGCTAAGGGAGTTCATCACGCGCCTGCTCGATGAGAATGCTACGGCTGACTTGATTCAATGGAGTCGCTCACTAGTTGGCGAACACCTGTTGATCCTGATATATGGTTTGTATAACCGTCCACATGCAAAGCAATCGAGCTAATCATGCCCCTAGCAATGCACTCTCTCGCGTTTCAGGCGAGAACCGGCTTGTTCGGGTGGATATCCACGAACTCGATCAAACGGGCCGCCGAAAATTGGCGAAGCATTTGGGACTCCGTCTCCAGCATTGTGGGTAAAGAAGGGGTGCACCACTTAGGGTATCCTAAGCATGCTGAAGAGCTCTGGTGGCTATTGACTGCTACGCTTGATCGCGCCAGTGGGCGGAACGTGAACTTTCGATACCTGGACAACGCCGCAACCGATGACCTAGAAAGCTTGAATAACTTCATCCGGAATATTAAAGGTCCCAATAGGACATAGTTCATATGTCTTGTCTAACAATATGTACAGGCGAGGGGCTTCTCTATCCATTATTAACATTAATATTACAAGGTTAGGCTCAATGACCGGCTTTCCCGACCGGCGGTATGGACTCTAGTCACCGGAGCAGCGCTGCGCCCCTGTAGGCGAGCGATCTTATGCGCGTGCATCCTACTCACTCTTGACGATCTTGAACTCGTCGCCGCGGGCTTTCCGATAGGTTCCTCCAACACGATCCCAGAACGTTGTGAACTGCCCATAGTTATAATTGAAGTACAGGTGGTGTAGGGTGTGGCATTCGGGGCCATTGATGATAGCAGAATGAGAAAGGCAGTCGGCGTCGTCTGGATGCGATTAGCGGGAGACACCAAACTAGAGGACGACACTTACGGATCAAAACTGTCCACAGTGTGACGAAAACAAACAAGCCCATATATGCACCCTTCTGCAGTGGGAACAGTACCGGATAGACGTGGTACGGGAGACTCTGCGCCCACCCGTCCAGTGGGTTGAACGCGAAACTCGCATAAGGTGTCGGCACGAGCCACTTGTGATGTCTCTTGTGCAACCACCGATATACCAAAGGGTGATGTTCCGCTCGATGAATCCAATAAATGCCGGAATCGGTGAATGCCACGAATAGGGGGTACTGGAGCCAGTTGTACGCAGGGAACGGAGCTTCGCTGGCGAAATCGTACAGCTTAGACCAGCCACGAATCTCTGCTAGGAAGAACGGGACCGTGAGGATAGCCATTATCGGGATGGAGAACAAGGCTTGCTCGATTTCGAGACGGACTTGATTCTTCAGGAACCGTGGATGTTTGAGCAAGGTCTTGTCCCACCATGTGTGGTAGAAGATGGTGCTGCCGATGAAGTATATGGCTAGACCGAAGAGCCTAGTTGTGTAACGAATTTGCTGTCAGCTGGACCATGCTCGATGGACTTGAGAGAAGAGCATGAACAATATTACCATGTGATGAACAACAATGAAGTAGCTTGTCTCGGCAGGTCATCGCGCTTCCAGCGACTGGCGGTCGCCCATGGAGAGGGTTGAAGAGGGTAGTAACGGCCAACATGTTGATTTAGGAAGAACGTTGTATCGAAATCCGAGGTACTATTCCCACCAGGCAGGACTGATGCGTACACTCTATCGAGGACGAATGTGTCGAGGACATCGAGCACAACATCCATCGCGAGTGAAGGTGTCTGGTAGGACCTGGGGATATCGTTAGGGCTGTTTAGGGTATTCTGGTTGCGCCCAGAAAATGCGACTGCTGCTTGGGGCAAAGAAAAAGAAAATTTGCGATCGATTGTTCATACAACTCTGTACTAGATATCACACGCAGAAGCTACTACTGTGTTGATTGTTACCCCCGTCATCTTATATACGCGGCGAATCCCTACCACGGGATATACCTACCCACGGGGTAAACCTACACGGGGGCGATTCCCTACTAACAAACTACACTGGCGACACGGGCTATCCCTACCAACACCGACATGATCCCACCACGGGAGAGGGAGATCCATTTCCCCCGGCGAGACCGATTCCGGGGGCACGTGGGAATTGGTCCATCTTCAGAAACAAATTATATCATACGACTACCAGGTCCACTAATATGCTTAGTTTAAAGTCTTATTGACTGAAGATGAGTAAACCGCGATGGGATGGAATAAAATAATGCCAATGCAGATGCATCGGACAAATTAACCGAGTTGGGTTGGTTCCGACGGCCGGGCAGCCGCACAGCGAGACAATCGAAAAATCCCACCAAAAGCAAGTCGGGCCAGCCAAACCTCGAGTCCATCCATTCCGTTGCTCTCATTCTATCCCCTCGTTCTGCTTCCCTCCCTCTCCTCCTCCACCCACCCACGCCTTCCCCTCTTCTTCCCCCGACTCATCCATTCTCCTTAACTCCGTCAAGATGGGTGTCACCTTCGACAAGTGCGAGACCCGCCCGGCCAACATTGACGCCATCCTCAATGGCCTCGACCGCTACAACCCCGAGACCACCACTGTCTTCCAGGACTATGTCGCCCAGCAGTGCGAGGACCGCACCTTCGACTGCTACGCCAACCTGGCCTTGCTGAAGCTGTGAGTTCAAGCGCCTTTCTGTTCCACCCAAAATACATTCAGCCGAAACAAAAAGAGCTCCGACGCGGGGAACCTATTTGGTTTTATGTGATGAAGAATCTTATATCATTATCACGTTTCCTATTACCTGACACCCTACTTTGGGGAATGTCGAGACTCAATTCTCCTGAAACAAAACCATCCATTCGACCTTTACTCTGTCGCATATACATCATACCTAGAGAGAGATGCTAACCCCTTCACGCCTTCTGGCAGGTACCAGTTCAACCCCCACCTTCTCCAGGCGGAGACCGTCACCAACGTCCTCGTCAAGGCCCTGACTGTCTTCCCCTCTCCCGCTTTCTCCCTCTGCCTTGCTCTCCTCCCCGCCCACACTCAGCCCTTCCAGGCCTCCGACGCTGAGGCCCAGGCCGCCGCCCAGACCTCCGACTTCGTCGAGTCGATCCAGAAGCTCGCCCGTCTCTCCACCCTCCTCGAGTCTGCTCAGTACACCCAGTTCTGGTCCACCTTGAACTCGGACGACCTGTACGCCGACCTTGTTGCCGACGTTGCCGGCTTCGAGGAGCTCGTGCGCATCCGCATTGCCGTCGAGGTCGGCAAGACCTTCCGTGAGATCCCTGCCGAGGTTCTGGAGCAGTGGCTCGACCTGCGCAGCCGCGAGGCTCTCGAGAAGTTCGTCGCTGAGGTCTGCAGCTGGGAGGTTGACAAGTCTGGCGCCAACACCGTGATCAAGGTGCCCACCAACAAGGAGAACGAGGCCCGCAGCGAGGTCAAGAGCGAGCGCGTCGGTGTTGACATGTTCGGCCGTGTCATCCGCCGGGGTTTCGAGCAGGCTGCATGAGCGGATCTCAACGATAAATAGATATCCGCATCGCAACGCAGCCTTTCTCGTTCTAGATTCCCTTTCTATTCTTGCTAATATTTTGCCTCGAACGAAGATTAGACCTTCCCCAAGGTCTTGATCTCGGTCTGTCTTGTTTGGAAGAATGACCACCCGAAAAGAAAAGTTTCAAAAGAAGAACACGGGACGAAGTGTCTGCTTCGGATACCCCCCATGACTTGAGCTCGGAGCCTCTTATAACACAATCAAAAAAGATGATGATGACGGGGATAGACCAGCATGGGAGAGGGTTGGGAAGTCCGGACCTGGCGCAATTGGCGTTTCGAGTTTTGCTTCTGCATGACTAGGTTGTGTTTTATCATCATCATCATCTTTTTTCTCTTTCCTCTTCCATCTTACCTCCTATATCATTTTTTACCTCCTTGATTATCCTCTCACCATATTTCTCTCTACGTGAAAAGATAACGCAATTTCACCGAAGATATCCATGTTGTGCGTATACACAAAAAGCGATCAGTACCAGTACAGTACAATCTTTATAAAATCATGACCAGCGATGTAACAGACAACCAGTAGTCGTAGTAGTCGTAGTAGTAGTAGTATTGTATGTACTTTTGATTTCGAGGCCAAACCTAAACAAAAAGAACACGAGTCTATATATGATATATATGTCATCAACATCAAGTCTTGAACGGACATTACGCTTCACAGTTCCAATCCGTAACCCATCATCATCTTCATCACCATCCTATTTCGCCTGTTCCTCCCACTGCACACCAGCCCACTCCTCTCTATAACCGACAACACCGACTTCCTTCGGTCCACAATCCTTCCCACAAACTCCCAAAATGATAGTCCCCCACTCCATACCAGCATCATCCTTGGGTCCAAGCCCCACACCCTCCCTCCCATCCTCCAACACACTGATAACATGAGGCACAAGCTGCAACTCAAACACGCGCTCACTACCACAATACTCACAGCGAGGCATGCGACTCCCTCCACCAACCGTAGTAACCTTGGCATTGGGGTTCGCTGTCTTCGACGGATCGTGGAGCCGCTTGCCCACCGCATCAGCATGGGAATAGAGCAATGGCGTACCACGGAACTCATAGCGGAGGACTTGCTCGGGATTATGGCCGAGACGGGTAGAGAAGCGGATGAACGCCTTGTCGAGCTCGGATTCAAAGGTATCTTTGAGCTCCGCTGCGCCACCATTGGGACCCTCTTCTTCTGTGTTGTCGATGGTCACGTTGGCGGGAATAGTGGGTGTGGAGGGGCGCGACATGGTCTCGTATTCGGCATCGAGGTAGAAGTTTGTGTAGGGGGTGGGGAAGTCGGATTGGGCGGGCCAGGGGGTGTTAGGGGTGGTAGAGGCTTCGGGGGGTGGGATGAGGTTGGTTTTGGGTTGTTGTTGTTGTTGAGAAGAGATGCGGACTTTGTCGGCGAAGGATTCGGAGAGGGTAGGTGCTGGAGAGGGGGTGGGTTTGGCGGCGAGGCCGGGGGAGGGCGCTGGGGCTGCGAATGGGTTGTTGTTGGTGCTGGTGGAAGAAGCGCCGGCGGAGAAGGGGTTTGCGCTGGCGGAGACGCTGCCGGTGAGAGTGGAAGAACCGAATAGGCTGGCTCCAAGGTCTGGCTTTGGTGCGGCGGGCTTCTTCTCTTCTTCTTCCTTCTCTTTGTTCGAGGGTTCTGGCTTTTGTTCTTCCTTTTGGCGGAGAGGCTGGTGTTGGGGCTCGATCTTCAGCTTTCTGACGGCGCGCAGGGCCCGGATACTGCCTGGTTTGCGGTTGCAGGCTTTGCGCGGGCAGGAGAAGATGTAGAGACGGCGTTCATCGTCGGGAAAGTCGTTGGGGAGGTCACCGTGCAGCTCGAGGAGGAGGAGCATGGGCTGGTTGCAGACTTTGCATTTGGCGAAGTCGCCCGGAGGCGGGGTAGCGTCGTCGAGCCAGGTCTGTGAGGGGTACATTGTTAGTCTGACTGGGGGAGAGGGGGATGAAGAGTTGAATTGGATATAGTACATACCGGCCAGCCTCCCAGGTGACTGATGGTGTCTTCAACAATCTCGTCGGCGGCGTAACCCAGCAGCACGTTGGTCTCGCTGAAGTCCCCCTCATCGTCGAAGGAGGAGTCGCTGTCGTAGGGATCCATGGTGTTGTTGCTGGTATGGTCAAGGAATATAATGTATAATAGTCGATTTGAGAATCAGTGGGTAAGACCAAGAACAATGAAATCCTTGTCCTGACGCAGAAGAGGTTGCGATGGAGTTTATCACCAGAAGAGCGCGTCTTCCTTTTTTGCCCGAAATTCTGGCGCAAAAAAAGAGGGAATGGCCCAAACGGGAAAAGCCCCATCAGCGATAGCCCCAGAATGCGCTATTCCTGATATAGGCTAGTGCAGTAACTGTGATATCGATACATACCCGTGTGATACGTCAGTCAGTACATCTCCAGCATCTCGCCATCGACCGTCTCAATTCCTCTTCGTTTCATCTTCATCTTCATTCCATCTTCACTTTTCCCCTTTTTCGGCTTACTATAGATCTACTTCGTCTGGCAAATCTCTATAAAAGAGGTTATAGAGCAGGTTCTTTTTGCACGCGAGCTCCTGAGCATGAGCACCGTTGCTTCTTCAAGCTCCTGCATCTAACGATCGTAACGTCCACTAGTTGTGGAAGCATTGCTTCACTAAATAAGCAATTCATCAATTTGAGCATTCATGCATCGCTCATCTCTTTCATATTTCCTTCGGTTTATTCTTCATATTCATGTAGTATACTACGTCTTAGCTTTATGCCTTCCCCCACATGTCAATGCCACCGAACAGCAACCCCTGGGCTCATTTGGAGTCACACCACCCAAGAGGGTCGCCGTGATCGGTGAGATCATTCCCATGATCCCCTCATGTACCATTGACAACAATTAACCTTCTCAATAGGAGCGGGGGCTGCGGGGTCTAGCACTGCTTATTCACTACGCAAGTATGCGGATGCCTTGCACATACCCCTCAATATAACGGTCTTCGAACGCTCTCCATATGTTGGTGGCCGTTCCACAACAGTGAATGTCCATGATAATCCAGCTACACCCGTAGAGCTAGGTGCTTCAATCTTCGTGGAGGCCAACCATCACCTTGTCAACGCATCCAAAGAGCTGGGACTTCATGTTAACAGCGCCAATCATGACCGACCCAGAGAGACCGAAGACACCCTTGGCGTCTGGGACGGCGAGCAGTTCGTCTTTGTGATGAAGGAAGCATCGTCCTGGTGGAACATTGCGAAGCTGGTTTGGAGGTACGGGTGGACACCCGTGAGGACCTATCGTTTGATGAAATCGACCGTCAACAACTTCCTCAAACTCTACGACGAGCCCATATTCCCTTTTTCATCCCTTACATCCGCTTCAGAAGCAGTAGGGTTGGTCAATATAACTGCCGTTCCTGGAGAGGCTTTCCTCCAGCAGAACCAGGTATCCGCCAAGTTCTCCCGTGAAGTTATCCAAGCTAGTACCCGCGTCAACTACGGACAGAACCTTGCTCTGATTCATGGCCTCGAGACCATGGTCTGCATGGCAACTGAAGGTGCCATGGCCGTGGAGGGAGGCAACTGGCTGATCTTCGATGGGATGCTCAAATTGTCTCACGCCGACGTCCGCTTAAACCACACAGTGACATCCCTCGACTGGGAGGCCAACGGCCCCTCAACCCTAACCTTCAACACGAACACCAACTCCGAAGAGAAGCTCGAGTTCGATGAGGTTGTCATCGCCGGTCCATGGCAATTCTCCAACATCACCGTTACCCCACCACTAAAGAAGACGCCGGATGAGATCCCTTTCGTAACACTCTACGTCACCCTCTTCGCCTCCCCGCACCGTCTCTCACCTAAATACTTTGGCCTCACAGAACCCAATGCCTACACCCCGGAGACAATCCTCACCACCCTCCCTCCGGACAGCGACATCGGAAAAAGCGAAGCCGGAGTCGGCCCAGCTGGCTTCTGGAGCATCAGCACTCTCCGGACCGTGGACGCTCCATACCCATCAAAAGGGAAACACTACGTCTACAAGATATTCTCCCCGGAACGGCCAACAGCCGAATTCATTGAATCGATTCTCGGCCTGGAGCACAAGTCATCTTCTAACACCGACACTGAAACTGACACTTCCATCGGCGATCTCTCCAAGCGAGACATCAGCTGGTTCCATGAGAAGATCTGGCGGCCGTATCCGTTCGAATATCCACGGGTCACGTTTGAAGAGCCGCTTCTTGCCCCTCATGTCTGGTATACGGGCGGAATTGAAAGCTTCATCTCTACAATGGAGACAAGTGCATTGATGGGGAGGAATGTAGCTGCTTTGATGTCTCGAGAGTGGCAGGCCCAGGTTGAAGAGGGGGAGGGAGAGTCGGCAGCGGATTCGGTTCGTCATGAGCTATAAAGGGGACGGCAAGGAATGGAGAATGGGAAATTGGCAGGACGTTTCCTAGTATCAAGTCATCTGTTCTCGTGCCGCGCTGTCAGTGCAGGTTTTAATGGCATGGCGATATATGGCACTTATGATGACCATATGATATAATTGTCTAGAGTATATAGTATTCACTAATGCATTGAAATGAAGTCCCGGGAATATTTACACATAACTCTACAAATACTCATTGGACGGCTGTTGTCTCATGGAACTTATTATCTTTCTATTTCAGTTCATAATACCTATTTACTAGGTAAGAAGTAATACTCAACCAGGCGTACCAAGCCTCCATGCAACCACGAACTTTTCCTGCCCTGTTGAAGAAGTGTTGAAGAAGCCATCCCGGTGCTATTTGTTCATTCACATGCTCAATGCATATCCATATCCCATGACCCGCGTAAGGTTGAAAAAGCAGACCTGTATAAAACCCCTTAGAACGCACAGCCCACAATCCGTTTTTGCTCGCAATGATGTTGAACTCGTAACCTAACAAGATAAAAAAAACAAAGGAAAAAAGAAAAGGAGAATAAAAGAAGATAGAATGTTATGGTATCATATCAAAAATTCACCCGGCTATAACTAGCTTAGACGGGGAGGGGGAAGGTGCTGGCCCACTCAGCGACCTCCTTGCGGAGGCTGAGGATCTCAGGGACGGTCTCGGAGGCAACCTTGGCCTTGAAGTCCTTGAGCTTGTTGGCCTCCTTGGGGAGCTCGCTCTGGACCTTCTTGCAGAGGTTGATGGACTGGTCAATGTAGCGGGCAATGCGCTTGAAGTCCTCCTCACCCATACCACGGGTGGTCATGGCGGGGGCACCGATACGGATACCGCAGGGGGTCAGAGCAGACTTGTCACCAGGGATGGAGTTCTTGTTGCAAGCAATGTTGATCTGCTCGAGGACAGCCTCGACACGAGCACCGTCCAGGCTCTTGTTGCGGAGGTCGACAAGGACCATGTGGCTGTCAGTGCCGTCAG